GGCACAATTGCAAAGTTGGATGCTAGTGGTGAGTTGTATCACTTGAGTTAAATACTGCTCTACAAATAATAATCATGTTAGGTGCTCTTTATACTCATGGAAGAAGCATTCCCTGCTTCTATTTTAAGTGCATTCATTAGATGTGCTATGATGACATGCATCTTTGAACAGTAAAGTGAAAAGGTCTTTCTGTACAAGACTTTCCTAATTTGATTTTGATGTAATCAATAGATTGAATGACTTACTCAAATCTTGTACATGAAGTACCTTAAGATGATAACTGGACTTTCTGGAACAGAATTCGTACAAGTCTTTCCTAATTTGATTTTGATGTAATCAATAGATTGAATGACTTACTCAAATCTTGTACATGAAGTACCTTAAGATGATAACTGGATTTTCTGGAACAGAATTCGCTGTAGTGTATTCTTCTGTGCCAAGGTATTTCAGTGGATGTAATTACTACTAGTGGTTTCCACTACTGAATTTGCTGTATGTGTCTCCTCCAGTGATATGGTATCTAGAAAGTTTGTTGACAGATTTTTCTTTTTTCCTCCTCAGTTTAATGTGCCTTGGAGAAAGATAATTTTTTTCTCACATAGGAATGCTAGGGGGAAGGGTTTGGAAATGTATGCATGCAAATATGTTAAAAAGAACCTCTAAACAAAATTTGAGATGAAAAGAGATGCTACTTCACTATTTCATTGATACTGATATGGATATGTAATGTTAGCTTTATTTATGAAATCGCTGAAGCTGCAGTTTATATGTCCCATATGTGAGAAGGACATTTAAAAACATACTTAAACATTTCACTGACAAATGGGTATTGTCTAAAACACATTTTCACAGCCACACATTTGCTAGAGATGAGCTGGATGTAGGTACCATGTGAGTTGGCAGGGCTATCAACCTGTTGTACTTAGTAAACAGACTTTCTGGGATTCCCACTCTTCCTGTTCTACAGCAGATTTTAAGATGGTCCATAATTATTAATGATATCATAGTTTCTAGGTTCTTTGAACAGTATTGTCACAACTGGGTACCTAAGGAAGTGATAGAAACATGCTTACTGTTCCTTAAATTTGTTTTGTGTGCCCTCTGCTGGCTGTGTGTCAATGCCAAACAGGTGATATACAAAGTTCTGTGACAGCACAGAGGCACCAGTGCTGGAATAAAGCTCATGGTATTTGATTTTTATTGGTAGTGCACTGGAGCAGGGAAATGAGATTCTGATTTCATTTGAAATTACTTTCCAGTCATGCAGAAGCATTCAAAACTTGTGCCATGTGTATTCAGAAGTGTTGAAGTATGGGAGTAGTATCTCCTGTGGTTTGCCAGCATTCCCTGTTGGATTTTGGCCAACATAGTCTATGCTTGTGTGTCTTTTCAGGGAGACATGTCCTTCTTAAGCATTGATCAGCAGGCTCAAATTACTTGCTCCTACCTCAGTCTGTTTCTTACTGCCTCAGATGTCAGGCTGCAGCTTTTCCTTGAAAACTACTTGGCAGCCTGGTCTGGCTATGCTGTCTCCTAAGAACATTCCAGGACCAGTGTGGCAATGTTTCACAACCACTTGTCATTGGTTCAGAAGTCCTTTGAGTCTCCTTCCCTGTGCCTCCTACCTTCCCAATGTCTTCTTACACATTAATTGCACACTCAAAAGAATCTGAACTTCACTTATTGTCAGCTTTGTGTATGCTTGCTAGTATTAGTTAGCAGGTGCTTAACGTAGTTTACCACTGTGTGTCCAGTGATAAAGGAGAAGTAAAGACTGCTGGTTTCCTGTACTGAAATAGCAAGTGTCAGCACTGCTTATATGATAATCTTCAGCACTATGTCCAATCATTTTCAGGCATCGATTAATTTTATTTGAATGTTCTTTCTTATGTGAAGATGTTCTGTTACCTCTAGTCTTCCTCTCATTCCACATATCTGTAAAATGTTTACTGTGATGAAGAAAGTTAATTAATCAAAAGCTGCTCAACAGTTTTGTTGATCATCAAGCACTTCTGGAAATATTTAAAGAAGATGGGCAAGGTGTTAGTAATAAATTCCTAATTAGGCCATGTTGTCTAGTTGTTTGAAATGCAACAATACACCTAAAGCATTGTGTTTCCTGCATGAGCACCTGAAATATTTTGAAGGCCTGCTTTTACTCTGCTACACAAATGTGGATTACATGGTGAATTTCATAGGTCACCATGAGACCAGACAAATCTAAATGCATGAGTCTAAAATAATTTCAGAGTAGAAGCAATGGAGTTGGCTGGGATTGCTGTGTATACCTCGGGAACCTAGGGCAAACAATTCTGTCTGAAGCTTTGACTGCTTATCAACTTGTTGCAAGAATTGAAGTGCAGAGATGAGTGGTGTGTGAATAAAATTTTGGCTAACAAGGAAGGGCTGGTGTTACTGAGTCATTTAAGGATGAAATTTACTTTTTTTCTACAAAGTGTATTTGTATTGACTGTGGGGTGGAATAGGTAATCTCTTTTGATTGGTTGATTTAGATTGTCTTTATTTGTATAGATGTATTAGTACTTCGGCAAAACTGTTTTAAGTTCACTACTGGCAGTGTGCATGAAGTTTTAGCATTGTCTTTTGTTTTTTGGTATAAAATCCATGTAAAGAATATTGACTGCTTTATGTAGATCATGAGGAGCATAAAACAGAGGAAATGAAGCAGGAAAATTTAGGAAGATAATCAACAGGCAAGGTATCCTGGTTTTGCCTGGAACAGAGTTAATGTTTCATTTTGGTAGCTAGAATAATGCTGTGTTTTGGATTTGGTATGGGGTTTGGCATGAGAAGAATGCTGATAGCACTCTGAGATTTCAAGGACTCTCCAACTCCCCATGTCTTGCCTGTGCGCAGGCACACAAGAAGTATGGAGGGAACACAGCTGGAGCACAGACCCAAATTGGCCAATGAAATATTCCATATCATGTAACATCATGCTCACTATATAGAGGAGGGGTGGGTGGGAAGGGGCTCTCTTGCTTCCTGGATTGCGAGGTCTTGGTACTTTGGGATCGCTAGCCAGGAACGAGCTGGATATCAGTCAGTGGGTGGTGAGCAATTGCATTGTGCATTACCCATTTATACTTTCTATTATTATCACCGTTTTATTTTAATACCATTATTAAACTGTTTCTATCTCAACCTGCGAGTCTACCTTTGCCCCTCCAATTCCCTCCCCCATTCCCAGGTGGGGGGAGGGTAGACAAGCGGCTGTGTGGTGTATGGCTGCTGACCAGGCTCAAACCATGACACAAGGGGAGTTCAGTTGTTTATCTTGGTTAACCATTCTGTCCAGAGGAGGCCAGTGAAGCATGTGATGAAGAAAGGAGGGTTTTGCATACCTTGAGGCACAGAGTGGTTTATGTGTTAACAGTGATGAGTCTGTGTAATAGAATAAAATAGGAGGAATAAAAAGGAAGAATAATAATCTTCTGGGATTAAGGCCAAGATTAGATACTCGAGGTGGGCCTTGCACAATTTTTGATCACAGCTCACATGTTTTAATTTAGAAAGTGCAGACCTTAAACAGCAGATACTGAGATATATCCCATCTCATCTCAACCTGACATGTTTGCCTTTCCTTTGTTAAGAACTGATTGCTCTGGAAACTGCTGAGATTAAATAATTTATTTCCAACGGAGTCCAAATGGCTGCAATGACATTTTTCATCTTTTTATTAGAGGCGGAAAGTAGAAATAATTGGATGGGAACAAGAAAAATCAATTTGATATGCCCACCATAGAATATGATGAGATATAACAATGCACACCCATCATTTTAATTATGGACCTTATGTTTTTTTGTGGGTCTGAAAAAACTGTAGTTTAAAAGGAGAGGACACCTGAACTCCTATCTGACTTTAATAAAATGTTGTTGCAATTAAGACAGTTGTGGAGAGAGGGAAATAGAGACTCTTCTAGTTAGCTATTATACACATTTTTTGTGAATTAATATGTTTTGATTTATAAATTTCATAACATGAAAATTGTGAGGAGAGAGGTACATATATGAAGCAGGACACTGATGTCTGGAAAAACTTTCTTGATGGCCTTGAATTTGTGACCCATTCTGTTTAACTTACCACTGTAATTACTTCATTAAGCTACCAGGGGCTAGAAAATGGCTTGTTACTGAGATCACTTGACTTCATTTTCATTTTTCAACATGTTCTGAAAAAGTCTTTGAGTCAGTTTGCTGCGGTGCTTACTGAAGAGAACAACCTTGAGCTCCTGAGGAAAGTCTGTGCACATACATCAGATTGGTTAGTTGACTGAGTTTTTCTTTTGTTGTGAAGTTGAGGCTGTCATAACAGTGTGGGATTTGGAGGCAGGCAGGGAGAGCTGTTGCATATTTCTTTAAACTGTCTTTGATGTGGTGTTGTTTTCCTCCTGTTAGTTCTATACTGGTGCTTCCTAGAAAGAAATTTCGTGATTCCCTTTTTGACAATTCCTTTCCTTAAAGGAAGTTTGAAGTATGTACTTGAGTGTAGTTATATATACACCCCAGTCATGGATACTAACTCCTTTTGAATAACCTCCCTTGTATTTAGATCGTGATCTGCTTGTATTTAAGTGTCTTTTGAAAGCTTTTAGAAGCACCCAAGATTTACAAAAACTGTCACAAACATAAACTGCACTAACATCTTTGTTACATAAGTATTTTTGTCTACCAATGCTACTAAGTGTTGTGCTTACTGCCACGTATAATTCCACTGCACTATCTGGGATCAGTTGTCTATCCAACTACCTGAAGCAACCAATTTTGTCTGACTTGGGTAACAAAATTGAAAGTAACTTGGTGTGGGTAAAGCCAGAAAGGAGAACAAAGTATATTATCATTTTAGTTTCCTACAGCCATGTGTACTGTCCTGTGGGCCTGAGCAGATGATTGCCTGCAAATCACAGGTTTGAGAACATACATTCTGTATATGTAAGATTTAATGTAATTATTTCTACCCTTTCTGGTGTGTTGCACAGGTTAACATTCAGCCTTCTGAATGGCACCGCTCCATACTGCTGCCACAGTCCTGGTTAGGATTTATGAGTCGAACCTATAGTGCAGTCCTGCAGGTAATTTTGTGGTACATGGTATTGTGCACATTAGTGCTTATCCAAGTGGTATGAATTTTATTTTTACCAGCAAGAGCATCCATACAAGTTACAGTAATCTAAAAATAAGGCTTGGGGTATTAAAATTTACAGAAACGAAATAAAAATAAAATGAGTCTTCAGTTAATGGAAGCACAATCTGGGATACTTTGTAGGAGTATAACTTCCACTTACAGTTCAGGTTCTTGCAGTCTTTTTCCTGTATCAAGTTGCAGAATGTGTCAATTCTTAGAATTTTTAGAACGTGAAATTTTAGTTAGAGCTCTAACCTATTATTTTGGATAGGAATTTTGTAATAATAGTATCACAGAGGAGACAGGAGCTATCAAGGAATGATTCATTAAATAGAACTTATCTTAACCAGCATGTAATGCTGTCACACTGTGAGGAACTGGTCTTCTGATTTTTCCACTCTATCTAATGAATAGGAAATGTCTTAAAACCTCTTTCATTAGGTTAACTGACCTGATACCTAGAGCAATGTAGTGTCATTTGGTTCTTCAGCAGGAAAATGATCTAAAAAACTTTTAACAAATAGCTGCCTTCTAGAAGGCTCTTTTTCTGCTACTAGAAGGGCTTATTTGTTAGTATTTCCAGGCTACATCAGCTGTTTTCAGTGTGAGCAGCACAGGTTGCTGAGCTAATTCTAGAAGCTTTGACTCTTCCTTGTTTTGCTGTGTAGCAGACCATATGTGCTTCTAACGTTTTCAAAACAAGTTTTATCTTGGCCATCAGTAAAATATCATTCTAAGATCCAGCCCCATTACAAAGCAGGCAGCAGCTATTCAAATTGTAGTTTTAGGTTGTAGCTACAGAGGGGGCCATTGTTGCTTGTATTTAATCACTTTCCTATTTTGCTTCTTGTCTGAGTCAAGATTTCACCAGACTTGTTTCTGAATGCCTCTCTAGGATTTTGTGCTATTTTACAGGGCAGTAGAGCCTATTTTATTGCTTCTGAAGTCCCTCACTGGAGACCTAGTATCTTTACTTACTCCTTATACTTCTATAGTACAGTTCATCTAAGATGGCCAAAAGAGAATACAGTGTAAGATGAGTAGTCTGGATAGTACTTCTGAACAGCTAGTAGAGTAATCATTTCTACAGTTGGGAGGCAGATGTTCGTAGAGTCCAGCTCACCAAAACTGGTGTTTGTGTGAGGATTTTTTTCATTTTGGATACCTGAAAGTCGTCTTTTTTTTTAATTATGTCTACTCACACGCATAAGCATTTCTGCCAGTTTGTGCATTCATCATGTTTTTGAGACTGAAGTCAACCTCATCATGATGATCATACAGGTCTTGACTTAGTATATAACTTAAATCAATATTTACATGTTTGGAGAAATTGCAATAGGTTTTTGCATAGGTTTTTATGCAGCCTTCTCTTTAGTCAGTGTGCTGTATATGGTACTTTAATCTCTGTGGAGTCACCTTTTGAGTGACATTTGGATGTGCAAGATTAAGTCTCTTGTATTCTAAGGTTTTTATGCGCACCCGAACTTCAGGTGTTCGTTACCTGAAAAATACAGTTTATGTGCCTATATTTTTCACTTAAGGCTCAATAACCTATTAAGGAGCAGTAACTGACAACATAAACAAGTTGAGATGTAGTCACAAATTTGGAGACTGAACGTTAAAGCAAAGCTGCTTAATATGTTTAGATAACAATTGTTAGAGGCCTGAGTCCATATCATCTCCTTTAAGGTACAGAAAGAACTATTCTAGCAGGTCTCAGGGAGGTTGGAGTCATCAAAAGTGAAAGGATGAGGAATTCTGCTTTAAGTAGTGAATCAAGAAAGTGATGTTTTGCTTTTAGAATCCATTTTAGCTAGCAGGCTTCTAAATGTCATTCCTTGCTTGTTCTATCCCTTCCCAAGGGAACTTCTCTCTTTGCGTGGACTAGGAGAGATGTTTCAGTATCCAGGGCTGTTTTTGTCATCTGTAGCTTGTTTTCCTCACTCAGAATAAAACAATATGAATTCTTTTACTTAATATACTGTGTATTACAGTGGGATTCCATATGAAAAGCAGTCAAGTTCACATATGAAATAGCCTTCAAGTGAAAGGCTACATCCTTTACATAATTGTTCTCTGAAGAATCTTATGATGATTGGCCATGTAAGATCCATTTCTGACTTACTCTGTAATTCTGCAGGGGAGGCAGGCAGAGCTGGAGATGCAGTTAAAACATGGAAAAGAAGATCCTGAAGAGGTGCATTACAAACAGTTTACAGCCTGGCTCTGGTAAGGAACTTTCTGTCTGCTCTTGATCACTTGTAATGGCAAGTGAGGTGGCAGAGGAGGGCAAGACTTCAGAGCCTTAAGTTTTGCAAGTTTAAAGACTGTATGAACACTAATGAAAAAAAAAACCCAAAACACAACCCACCACATACAGTGGCCGAGGGGGGTAGCGGGAAGGTAACTGTAAAGATTCCCATTTGCATGGGTTCACAGGTACCTTCCCCTCTACAGTGTCTGATACTTTGTAGGGTGAGCACCTGGAAAAATGGAGAACTGTATTTGTTTTATGTTGTGTTAAAGCAGGATTATGCAAAGAGCAAAACTTACTTGTATAAACTAAGGGAGTTGTCTCACTGAAAATGGCTTCAGAAAAGAACTGTAAGCAATGATATGATGTATGTTGTAGTGAACTGAGACACACCTCAGTTCTTGAAGTAAATTGTCAGTATTTGGCTGAGGATGTTCTTTAAAATATGTGATGCATACCCTGAGACATATGCTCAACTACTTCTGTTTCAGTCAGCTGAGGAGTGTGTCTCAGTCTGTCAGGATTTAGTCATGTATGTACATAGCCAGAGGGACAAGGTGGGAAGTGAGACACTTCTTGGGGAGAAAGAACTACATATCCATGGACAGTACAAGTATCTGTTTCTGTGCTTGTTCTTAAATGCATTGGGAACAAAGTATGTACAAACAAAACCACAATGTACTTTGCCTGTTTCAGTCAATAAGGTGTAAGTCCCATGCAATAGAAATGCAAAATACCTGTCTTTTTTTTTATTCCAACTAAGTCTAGATTAAAGGGTTTCATAGTAAGATCCAGAATGATATGGTATTGTAGAAGAGATGTAAGAGTGGCACAGTTTTCCATTGTTAATCTCCCCAATCTCTTTCTTAATGGGGTATAAAAAGAAAACATTTTCCAGGTGAAAAGAATGCCTATAGCAATACTGGTTTTGTAGATTTCTCCTGAGCCGTTCTGCTCTATTTCCTAAATAGTGTTAATGGAAGCTATGATGAAAATGAACAGAATTCTCTTTAACAGTAGAGAAGTCAAAGCAGTAAGTGAACTGGGAGACCGATACTAGCTTTGATCTCTCTTCCTGTTCTCCCCTAATTTCTTGGTGCTTCAGGGCTCCAACTTCAGTACCCATTAAGCATTTGTGTTGCCCACTGGATTTATCCTGATTGTGTACAGCTTGATATCAACTTTAGTGTTAATGCTTTATTGTGTAAGTACTGTGCAATTTTGCATTGGTATTTGCCAAGTTAGTGTAAGCGTTTATAGCGTAGGTGGGCTTGAAACTGTGTGCTAAACCAGTGTGGTTATGAAGGAAGACCTGAGTAGGTTTCTTTTAAACCCTGAGTATAACTCAGTCTTGTAACTTATGGCCCTATTTTACAAAGCATGCCATTTTAGTCTTCTAATCACATGTTGTAGAACTGTGATTGGAGTGTATGTTTTTATGTAGGATGACAGACATGACCAGGATGGTGTTTGTAGTATAGAGGATCTCTTTCGTCAGCCAAACTTGTCAGTATAGAAGATTCAATGTATCTCTGCTTTCTGTCTTGTTATGAATGGAAAACTAAATGAATGCAGACAAGTAGCCTATTTTAAATCAACTACAGTAATGTGTAAGAAATTGTAACTACTCTGATGGCTCTCATTTAAATGGATTCATGTTACGATACTGCGTAAAAGCGTAACAGCCCGTAGTGATTTCCAGAAGTATAGTAAGTGTTGGATAAATTGTTGTGGTTGTCCATTATAAAATATTCTCATTTTATCATTCTAAGACATAGCACAGTGATCTGGAAACTTAAATGTAGCAGTTCAAGTAACTGATTTATGGCTATTTCATGAACCTGCAAGGTGGAATGAAGTAAAAAACCACAGTCCTTTATAAAACATTGGCAGTGCACATGAACATAAAGAAATGTTGGGTGGTACATAAGCACTTTTATACTTTTAATGCTTGTGATTAATTTGCACTAGATCTTCTGATAGCTAGATGAGATAACTGTAAACCTAGAATGGGCACATGTAAGGCATAACAGGAAATCAGTTAAGTTCATGCTATAGTATAACGAATGTGATGGAGATTCTTTCTGTTCCTGTTGCAGGGTCAGAGATACATTGACTGATGTCATCAAACATGCTTCCAAGTAAGAACTGCTAATTTATTACAGATGAGAATGAGTTCTCTTTTGTGGCAGAAGATGTAAGATAATATTTTCTGCAATTGATTATCTGCCAATTTCATTATTTCATGTGACTGCTGTTCAGGAAAAGAACTCTGCCCCACCTTGTGCTTTGAGACTTTTACCACTGACTGTTAGAAAGGCTGATGTCTAATATTTTGAGTAAAGCCTCAGTAGTGCTAGATGCACTCTTAGTATGTACTTTTTTTAACTGTCAGACTGTTTGCCTCAAGTAGCTTCATTTATCTAGAAGCTGGCTGGTCTTTATTGAAGTATGGGCTGTCAGAACTGTCCCACTCTCTGTTAAAGTGCCTTTCTTGCACCCAGATGCCCCCAAAGGCACAAAATTACATGTTTTCAGATTGTGACAGGCGTGTTCATTTGCTATTAGAATTAGCACATGGCTTTCAGGCAGCAATATCTTAACCTTCCTTCATAGGCCACCAAGGTGGTGTGACTTCTTCCTTTCACTCTCCACTGGCAGCTAGCTTCCTGTCATGATTTGCGCTTGGTTAACCTGAAATTGGCTGCTTGCACAAGGTTAAGAAAAAGCATCAGAAATAGTGAATCCTCATAAGAAATACTTGACATCTTTATGATTTGAGATTTTCTGTCAGTGAATGAATTACAGTGAAATCTCACAGACTGTTTCAACATTGGTATTATTGTAAAGGTATGAAAGACTAGTTTGAAATAATTCTGCAAGTCGAGAGTACTGGAGATTTAATGAAAACTTTCCATAAAGGTTTGAACTTTTTCCTTTTTTAACTTACCATTGTTCAGATATTTAAAATATTCCCAGCTGTTCCATTTCCTTTTAAGTCAGTACATCTTGAAGGAGTCAGTTAAACAGGAATGAAATTGGAGAATCTGTTTGATATTTTAGCTACTCAATAAATACCTGTGTTAAGGTAAGGTAGTAGAAGGAGATAAATAAAGAAGGAACAACATATTAAACTTTAAATATATGTCGTGGTTTAGGCCTTATTGGCAGCCAACCACAATGCAGCACCTCTCTGTCCCTTCCCCTCCGGCAATGAGAAGGGACAGAGAGCCAGGCTTGGGGTTCAAGATAGGACTGGGATGGGGGAAAATCCCCCTTTTATGATCACGAGCAAAAGGCAGACTCATTAGGGGAAGAAAAAAAAGAACATACATTTATTACAGACACTAACAACACATAACAGAGTAAGACAGTGAGAAGCATTGCCACATCTTGAGAACACCTTCCCCCCACCCCTCCCTTCTTCCCGGGCTCAGCTCTGCTCCCGATATCTCTACCTCCTCCCCCAGTGGCGCAGGGGCAGGGAATGGGGGGGTGCAGTCAGTGCTGCCACTTCCTTCATGTTCGGTGAGGGGAGTGTCCAAAACTTGTTCCCCCTGCTCCATCGTGGTCCCCCTCTCACAGGAGACAGTCCTCCACAAACTTTCTCCGACTTGAATTCCTCCCAAGGGCTGCAGCGTTCCCCACACTGCTCTGTCATGGGTCACTAACTTCCTCCGATTGGATTCTCTCCCACGGCTGCAACCCTTCCCGAGCTGCTCCGGCATGGGACTCCCCCGCGTGCTGCAATCCTCCCAGCGCTGAATTACAGCAGCGGGGCTACCTTTTTCCCATGAGACCCCGGCCTTCTTCGGGCACAGAACCTTGATCAGCTGAGCAGGAACAACAGGCCACATATCAATGTCTGCTCCACCGTAGATCTTCATGGGTGGCAGGGGGGGGCCGCCCTGCCGTCTCACCACAGGATACAGGGGGGTCTCTGCTCCGGCACACTTCCCCCCGCCTTTCTTCCTCCGTTCCTCCACTGACCTTGGTGTTCACACAGCTGCAGCAACTCCTCCTCACAAGTCTGACTGCCCGTCACCATGTCCCTTCTTAAATATGTTATCGCAGAGGCACAGCCGATTGGCTTAATTTCCCAAACAGAAGTGGAGCTGACGTGGAGCTGGGGGAGCTTCGAGAAGCTTCTCACAGGGGGACGCCCCGATAGCCCCCTCCCCTGCCACCAAAAAACTCCACCACTCACTCAACCCAGGACAATATATCATACTCTGTGTCTCAGAATTAAAGTTATGACTTTGCCTGTAGAATTTCCTGAGTAGAACTAGTTGAGGTAGAAGCATTGCCTAGTTTGGGAGGGAGTAGTGAATTTTCATTAGGTAACAGCAGAATTATTTCCTGTGCATAGATCACTTCTCTAGAACTTCTTGTGTTTACTGACTTTCATTTAAGAAAATACTGGGTCTTTTCCCCATATTTTCAATAGAGTAAGACACTGCTCTTTTTGCTCCTGGGACTTATTAGGATGATGATTTTTACCTTCATTAAATTTAAAGCATCCAGCTTTCATGAGTGTGTAGAATTAGAAGTTTCTCTGAGGTACGTCATGAAATATATCCTTTTATAAATTGATGATTAACAACAACAAGGGTTCTATACATAGATTAAGATATTATTTAAGGGAAGAGATACAGCGAGATTTCAAAGAACTTAACTAAGCACATAGTTGTAATTATTTGTAGGTATCTCTTATCTGAAAGGAAATAATTTTAGTGTTCCAAACAAGAGAAGTCAATGACATTCCACTAAGACCTGTGTATCTTATTTTAAAAAGCAAACCAGAAATCCAGAAAATATTTTTATTGTGAAAATGAGATCTTTGCATCTGGAACAAATGCCTAAATTTGTAGTGTAGGTGTATTTTTACAGCAACAGTTGAGGAAGTTTTTAGAAATGTAAGACTGATGCAAATAGGGTAGTACTGTACTGGTCTAGCTTAAGACTGTAAATTATCTAACACACTCGTATTGTTCAGCTGCTACTGTAAAATGAGTTCCAGCAGGATTATACTGCAATATGTTTTTCTGGAAATGACTGGGATATTGACATCTATCTTTTCATGAAATTGAACATAGTTATATTCTCTTTCAAAATTTGTAGGTGGCAGATATTTTTTCTTGAGCTCCTTAAAAGTAAAGGTTTGCATTGTGCTAGAAGTTAGTACTCTTTGAAACCTGTCATTTTCCATGATGTTAATGTTTGCATAGCGTAGAGGAGTAGTTCAAAACTTTTTTTATTCAACTTTCTGTTCTAGGCTTTATATAAAAGACAAACAAGAAAAAAGACTGAAATGCTTTTCTCTCCCATTCTTTCTCTAATTCTTGAAGCTGAAATGCAATAGACTCTTGCTGAGCTAGAAGACAGCCCAATAAAGCTGCTAGGTCCAAAGGCCTTTCCTCCTGGACCACATGTAGCATAATCTACCTGTATTGAGATACATATTTTGTTGCTTACATCTCTATTACACTTCTTAACTGTTCACGTTTTTCTGTCCAGAGACAGCCCAGTGGTGAAAGGAAACTCTATTTTTGCCTTAACTGGTCTTGCAGTTGCTGTAGCCAAACATGAAAGCAGCCTTTCCTCAGACACTGAATGGATGCCTGAGGTGAGTCAGTCTGGGAAAGAGTCTTTATTCTTAATATGGAGTATAATGAAGCAATATGACCAGGTGTTCAGGGGGTTGATAAGTGTATGTGAAGTACTTGATATTTTGAAGTTAAAATTTCACCCTGCTCACTGAATGCTGTATGGTAGCTGCTGTGTGATCTATTCAAAAGCAGTTAGAGTGTGTAGGTGCCTTCTCGCAAGAAACATAATGACTAACACATTTTTTGGTTTTGACAGATGAGATAGAGGTCTAGTGGACACTGAAACCCAGCCAGCCTCTTTTCTCATAATTTTTTCTTTCACTGAATAGTGCATAATCAAAAGTAGTGTCTGGAAGGTCAGCACTGGCAAGTAAATCATTCTGCTTACTGTACATAAGAATGACAAAATAATCTAATTCCTGATGGATCATAGCTGGAACATCAGCTGCTGAGCTTCTGTTCAGGTAGGACATGATTTAAGAAAAAATAACTATGAATATTTGGATTTGATTTTTGCAGACTGAACCTGATTTTCTTCCGACAAAACACTGGATTTCTATGGTCACAGAGACTCTCTTTAGTATTGTGAATAGCCGCTATCACCCTAAAGGTGAAATCTTCCCTTGGTTCTACCAGGTATGTGTTGTGGTGTTAAAGGCAAGAGAACTTATCTGTATTTCATACCTGGAGTTCTTAGTGTGGAGTTTCCTGGTTCTGTTGCCCTGTGGTAGTTGTACTACAGAAGAGTCAGAGCTTCTCTTGCTTTTGTTCTTTCATTGTATTTTCTGCTTATATCTGTGTTTGCCTTGAGTTTTTGTCTATTACCAAAATAGTAAAAACCACGTGAGTATACATGAGAGAAGGAATTTTAAAAACAAAAAAACCCTTCAAAATATATAATGTTAGGCATGTATGTACAAAACAAAACCTTCTAATATGAACAGACTCTCCTCAGACCACACTATCAATCTGTTGAGTGATTCTGACAACATTCTTCAAGGCTCTGAAATGCACACTTTCTCAAAATCTAATAGTTATGGAGCCAGTGATTCTTATTTTACAGTACCTCTTGAACCCCTGAGGACCAGTAGAAGTTGTATCATATGTGCTTGCAGTGTCATAACCACCTGAAATTCTCAAGTATCAGGCAGTTCTTAAGTAGAACCTGTAGACCAAATGAAAGCTCAGTATATTCCTTAGGTATTGTTAACTCTTGATTATCTGTGGTCAAAGCAACCAGGTTGCAGATTCTTTGTGTCATGGTTGAAGGAGGGAACTTGGGTCCTAGAAAGCGAAATACCAGCCTCCTCATATATGGTAATATTTTCTAACCAGAACTTCATTAACTGTGTTTAGTCCAGTAGTGAGATGTTAGTGTCAAAAAGCTGAAAATTACTGATTCAGCTCTGTCATGAGACCCCTGTCATCACTGATAGAGGACATAGATGATCAAACCAAACATTGTGTTAAATAAATTCTAGACTGGTTGGATGTAAGGAGGTTCAGCTACTTGGTTGACACTAGCAATTCTTGCCAAATTGTTCTGTGAGTCCTGCCTTTGAAAATAATGCTGTTTTAAAAAGGTGGCTTTGAGATGAAACAATGTGACAGTGTTTAATTTCTAAAATCCACTTAAAAAAAAAAATTAAAAAGTCTTATGCCTGTAAAATTCTAAGGAACACAATAGAAAAAATCACTGTCTCATAGAGTGCCTTCTATCCTGATGGGATTTTTTTCTTTTGCTTTTCAGAGTTGCACGTGGAAGTTGATAAATATACCTTAGGCTATTACTTACAATCAGTCCATTGCTTTATCAGTAGAGGTAGCTGTATGGATTTTACCTTTCAAAATAGAAAAGAATTAAAAACATTTGCAAGGGATCTTTCTTCTAGAAGGCATCTCAACTGGTTAACTTGCAAGATCTCATGATATTTTGTCATCCTAGGTGTTATGCTTCTTCCAATTTGCTAAATTCTTGATCTGTTTTAATTATAAAAGTACATTAACATCGTGCTGATTTCTCTTTGCCCTTCAGATCACACTGCTGGATATTTTAACAAGGAAGGTGAAAACTAAAATAGACCAATGTATTTATGTGCAGACTAGCTGTTAAATTCTAGTTGCATCCTGTCTTATCCTTTGTTTACAGTTTCATACTTAACAATCTTATTACACTTAGAAATTATATTCTGAATTACTCTAGTTTTGCAATGCTTACAAGGTAAGGCAAATGGAAAAGTTACCATAGGCAATTCCATTAAATACTATTTATTGCCAGACTACAGTGCATCTGTGCTGCTGTTTGCTGTATAGGTATTTACTGTAAATTCCTAAAGTGCTGAGTGTTACTACCTGGAAAGGATTTTTCTTTCTGTCCCCCGAGAGGAAAAGGAAAAAAAAAATATTCTTTATGTTTTTCTAGAAATCCTATTTGGGTGAAAATACTGCTAGTATTATAGCTCGTTCCTGTGCGGCCACAGCTTTGTCTCTCCTGGTGCCAGTTTTCATTGTATCATGCAAGGAGAAGGTTGAGGAGGTCCTGAATATGCTGACTGACAGGTTACCTGGGAAACCAAATGCTGATGAGTCTCAAGCTGTTCAGATACACATGGGCCTTGGTTTGGGGATGTTTATCTCACGTTTGTATGAAGAAAAAGTCAGGTAAGGATGACCATATGTAGTGTAGATGTGCAAATAACCTTTTTCCTGCGTGTGGCCTTTAGGTCTGAGGAATTTAGTTACAAGTCATAGGCAAATGATTCTGGAGGGACTTTGCAATGTTTCTTAAAAGGTGTTTTTTATTATCAGTCTGCACCCTCCCACCCCACCTATACCCTCCAGTGCTATCCTGGGTATTTTGCCATACTTGCAGTATGAATGATTAATTTTCATGTGCAAAGCAGTCAGCTAGAACTGCCACACATATGCTTTTAAAGGTGACTAGCTGCCCTGGGAGACTTAATTGTAAAATAATTCACAGTTCTCATCAGTTCCTTTCTAAGTGGTGCTCTGGACACTGGATAGTGTCCCATCATGTGTGATAAGCATATGGGGATAGAGCTACAGCAGAGGCATTGTAATGGGCTGTCTTTAAGGTGTGCTGTTACAGCTATGTTGGCAGCAAAGAGGTGTTCTGAAGTTGGTAGAAAACACCTCCTTTACAGAAGGGTTGTCCTCAGCTGCAAATTTCCAATGATTACAGAAAAATTAATAAGTAGGTTTGGCTTCATACTCCTCCAGCTTCTTAACTACAAGGGATTCTGTCTGCCTATATACACATAGTAAAAGTTTAATTGGTGCACAAGTACAGGTATCAAACAGATTTGGCTGTCAGTTTTTAATTTACTCAGTGGAGCTAATGTTTCCAACGTGCCTGCCTTTGTTAAAACACTGTGTGGCATTACTCTGTTCTAATCTCCGTGCTTTGGTGTCTGGATGCCTTGCTGCCCCAGACTCAGCCGCATCATTTGGGGATGGACTATCTCTGGTTGATTAGTCAGTGATGACAACTGAGATACATACCAGCATTAAAAAGCTTTTAAAGAGAATGACATTAGATCAGCTTGGTATTTTGGAGTATGTGAATCTTTATTTTGGGTTTTGGGGTTTTCTTTGTTTGTATGGTGAGGGGTGTTGAAATTGATAAATTTATCTGAAAATTTCTTATGGACTGTATCAGTTTCTACTCTTCCACTGCCTTGCATAATTTCTAAAATTAATCTCACACATTCTTCCAAGTATTGACTTGAACCAACAGGAGAACTTGTAGAGATGTAGCTATAGCTAATATCAAATCATTGAGTTTGCATTAAAGATGTCCTGTTCATCAAGAAGACTGTGTACCTGTTTTGTAAGAGCAGAGCACCTATGACATCTTTGGAGTGTGATATAAATGCTTCCTTTTTTTATCAGTAAGTTAGGCAAAGAGATGGAGAGATTGATTTACAGATCTAGTATCTTAAAATGTCATGAATTTTCATCTTAGAAATAGTTACAGGTCTATCTGAGACTATGTTCTATCAGTATCCTCCTACTGTCAGGCATGTTTTACAAATCCTGGGAGCTAGATTTCTTTCTGGGTGTTGTAGCAATAATGGTTGCCAGTTAAGGTCTGAATATGCTTTTATTATTTGTATATGAGTATAATTATATGAATGTGATAAAAATGACCAGTCATATAGTTATTGCTTACAGACTAGTATGATAACCAGTTACAGCAATAAAAGAACTCTAGTTACAGGCACATTCAGTCTTAGCAGGAGGTTTAATATCCTATATTATTTAAAGAGCAGAGCTGTGTTTTCGACTTTTTTTTTTGTTTCTGTTTGTTTGATTTTGTAGTGATGTACACTGTCAACAGATGAGCTTAGTTCTAATGAAGTTCCTGGATGTGCTGGAAGACTGCTGCTTTGACACCAGTCTGGAGTACAAGTGAGTTTCCTTCCTTACTGATGATATTTTGTTTTAATTTGAGCTCCACCTTTTCCGTGCATGCTTTTATTTCTTAATTCTACACAGAAGAGTATAAGGATAGGGTAAAGAGACAGCCTGTTCTGAGTACTTCCATAGTATCAGCAACTAGTGCAGGCTGTCGAGGACCTTTGGAGGTCCACATACCTCCCCAAAACAGACTCAGCCATAGACTTGGACTACATTGCCCAAGGCTTTAACAGTCAGGGTTTGAAGCTGCCAAGACTGGAGACAGCACAAGGTCTCTGGGCCCTAGCTCCACATGTGTGCTGTCCTTATCTCCATGTGAATGTCTGATGTTTCAGCTTGTGCCCCCTGCCTCTCAGTGTCCCACCATGCAAGAGCCCAGCTACATCTCAACCCTTTCCTGTCAGTGTCGGAGAGGCTGTTGGGTGCCCCCCAAAGCCATCCCTTCTCACAGATGAAATAGCTATGGTCCCACAGCCTCTGCTTTTAGGGCAGAGGTTCTAACCTCTCTTCCTCGGTAGACTCCCATGAACTTGTTCCAGTTTTGTTGGTGTCTTTCCTGCACTCAGAGCATCATGCCAGGTGCATTGGCGAGCACAGAGCAGAGGGATAATCCTTCTCTTGGCTGTCATGGCAGTGTCCTGCTCATGCTGCTTGCATACTGCTGGCCCTCATCACTGCCTGAGTGCATGTCTGGCCCCAGCTCAGCTTGCTGCCCACCAGTGCCCAACGCTGACCCCAGAGCTGATGCCCAGTCCCTCCGGTCCCAGCCTGTGTGTTGCCAGGTGCAGGACTGTGAATTGGTGCTTGATGAATTTCAGGATACTCCTGCTGGAGTGTCTGTGTACCATCTCTTCTAAATGAGTGTGTTCTTAAGTAAATAAATATATATATAATACTTTATATATGACTGTATATAAGTGTATGCATATGTGCATATATCTAACACACACACAGTTTTTTCCATACAGTGCCTAGAGTGAGGTGAAAAGAAGCAATGACCACCACTGCTAATCCATGACAACCCACAAGTAAAAACCTTGGGAATGTATAGAGAACCCCACAGTCTTGCTGACAGGTAGTGGGAAGATACCAGCAATTCTAGGAGCAGGGTGGCTTATCTTACCTGCACATGTTGGTTAATGAAAGATGTTTTTGAAGGTCTGTCTTTGATGCTCTTGGGTCTTTGCCAAGGTGTTCAATGTTAGCTGCTTCTGGGTTGAAGCCTGTTACTGGAATGTGCATGTGTGTCCAATACAGTGTGAGCTCTGGGAGCAGCTGCCATTATCTGGGAGAGCCAGGCCATTAATTTAACAGCTGTGGATGTCATGCTGAATACTGAGTAAAGTAAATATATTTCATTTAAGCAACTGAGGTTATGGTTCAGGTGTCCCAGAGAGAGGAACAGCCCACCAGCAGGGCAAGAAATTACTGAAAAGTGTTGCACAATTACTAGCATTGGCAAGCCTTGAATAATTGAACAATAAAGCATGTGTTGGTTGCTGTTAAACAACTAACACAAAATAGTAATAAGTGCCTTCCACAGTAGTCATTTCCCTTTTTAAATCAGGGAATAAAATGCACTGTCTTGGGTGCTTCAATGTGGGTTCATAGGGTTTTATTTGATTTTGAACATTATTCTGCCCAGCTCTTCTCATTCAAAGGAAACAGAGAAATAATTCCTGTTTGCCTTTGCCCTCCCCTTCTCCAGTGGACTTTCTGAAAAGTTGTGAGGGGTCCCAGTTACACATCACTGAGCTGTGAACCTGCATAGCTTAATCAGGATTTGGGTTGCCTCTTGAGTGGTGCAGGGTGAGACTCATGGTGCACAGGGGGACATATCAGCTGCAGCATGTTGTTATGCCTGTTGTTGCTTGTTTGTGCAACCTGTTAGCTGGAGATAAGTGCCTCACAGAAAAGCTAAACTAAACTTCTCTGGCAGCAAGAGGTTGCCAGAATAACGTGGATCAATGGCAAACAAAAGAGGGAAGATTGAAGAGTGTGTAGTTTTTTATGCTGGGCATAATGTCTACATATTTAAAGGTTAATGATAAGTTGGTGTCTAGTGTGAGCACTCTTTATGATCAGGGAAGTAATGTAACACTGTACATGTTGCAGAATGGTCCAATTTTGGCATTTGTCTACTTTTAAACTGATATTCCAAAGCAAGGTCCTTCCCAGCTTTTTCATGCAATATGATAGGCACAACCAACTGTGGGACGTTATCAATGAGTGCATGGTCATTTTCATCAGTGTTTCAGCCATGATAAACTGGCAATTCTCTCCTGTTAAAATAGGTTGCAAGCTTTCTGAGTGTTGGTATATTATGTGGTACAGACATGGGAGGACGGAATTCCCTTTTTTCTGAGTGTCATCAGTAATTGCACCCTCTCTGGTGGCTGCTCTGAGGTTACGTATGGCTGGAAGGGCTTCTGGTACCAGCCTGCTGCCCTGTGGGATGCAGGGAGCTCTGCGGACCACCGCCATGGGGGTTCATGCTGCACCGCGTGCTGTGCTGCCGGACTGTACTTGTGCGATGTGGCATGCCTCCTGATTGTTTTAGATAATGTGCATCTGCTCTGTAATGCACTTCTGTAGAGTGTTAAGTGAGACATCTCACACACTGAAGGATGGTATTGAGAAAGAGGTTTTTGATTAATTTTTGTTTTGTTTAGTTCTTCTATCACAAGTGTCTAGATAACGAAGTGGTTTATCAATGGGTGTGCTATGCAAACTGGAGCTCACACAGCCACTCTTCACTGACCATGTCAGCCTTGATAGGAATGTTATTACATATAATTTTTGTCGTTTAATTAGGAGAATTCTCTTTCTAAAAAGGGGGGGCCTGGGGTGTGGAATGGGGAAATTGCTAAGAGGAATGAAGAAAATTCAGGTGTTTTCAGTAAGCAGTAACAATCTTAGGGGTCCCTGAGCCAGTGCTTTAGCTTGGTGAGAGTCCACTCACATTCTGTAAGAATCACTGTGTCTGTGTAAGTTGCATAAGATACTCTAAACTTAAAGTTTCCTCTCAGAACGGGTCACTGTGAGAATAATGCTCATAAATCGGTACTCTTATCTGTTGTAACCACACAGGGAAAAAAAAAAAAAAGTTAAAATCACAATCTTTTAAAGGAGGGAAACCATTTCAGGTCATTAAGGATGTTAATATAATGCTTCTGCAGTTTTCAACTGAAACAGTTTCAGAGATTGCAGAGCCTTAGGAGCTTTGCAGTTACTCCTGATTTTAAATGGAATGCACCCAGATGCTACCAAGAGATCTTTGAGCGGACCTTAAGTTTGCCTATATGTTAGACAGAAACTGAAATAAGTATATTTTTTAAATATACTGATGCAGCACTTTTTAGTATACACATGTATGGAAAAGGTGCATAACAGGTGATTTAGACACCTTTTTATGCTACCTGGTTTTGGCAGACTTATTGATTACAGAAGCTATATCATGGCTCATTTTTTCTCCCAGGCCTAACTTACATAGAGCATAGGTTCAGCAAGCATGTACATTCATGGCTGCTAACTTTTCCAGTTATTCATGTAGATTATAGTAAATAGATTTTTGTTATATTGACCTCAGTGTACTTGGAAAAAAATATAAATAAATAATAATAAAAAAAAAAATCAAAGGTAGGGTTCCAGTTGTAACAGTACAGCATAAGGGTAACAAATGTATCAGTACATATAGACCTTGTATAGGAAGGTTTTGTTTCCCTGCCTTCTTGCAAACAAAGGAAAACATGTTGAAGATTGGGTTAACTCTCACCTTTTGAAAGGTTTGCATGGGAAGAGTTTTTGAGAATTCCAAGGGGCAGTCGAGTTTTCTAACTTGTCTTGTTACATTTCCCATACTGAGCATGAGTTCTACAAGACCTTTGCAAATATGGCTTTTTGTATAAAGTTATTGTATGGCACAACTAGCTTGAATCTGTAAGAATAAATATTAGAGAAATACCAAGCAAATGATAAATGCTGATACATGTTGAGTAAAGATGTGGTAAAGAGCAAATTGTTATGAAACTTGAAAAACACAGTAGCTTTCCTTTAAATTGCTATGTGTAGCATTAAACTGACTTGCTTCTTATGGATTTTTTTGCAAGGTCAGTAGCTGTTTGATTTGACTTTAAAGCATTTTCAGTCAAAACTGTCACCAACTTTTATATTGTTACTACAGAAACTGTCAAACTCCACTGATCTTAGGATTATCAGGAAAATGTCAGTTTTCCTTTATCCTGAAATACAAACCTTTTATTTAATTTCATGATTTGTTCATGAAGTCCTTCATTCTGTGATGTGTTGGACTGTACTGCCTTGTACACTTCCAGGTTACATTACTGAGGTAAATGACAATAGATTCAAAGATGAGTCATGACAGTAGTACAATAAGTCTGATGCACTGGCAGTAAAACACTTAAAACATGCTGGGAAATCTGAGATACCATGTAGGTGACATGCACTTAAGTATTAATTTTATGTAGATCACAAACAAGGTTGCTAAGCGAAAACAATTGCTAGTTACAAAAAGGAGAGAGTGGGTGAAATTTTACTCCTGCTTCAGTCCCTGCTTCTGTTTTGTTTTTTTTTGCTGAGAGTCAACAACATGAAAAATTAGCTTTCATTAGGAACTTTGTTTTCTTTCTGTGTATTCTCATCAACAAGCTATGGTGTAAAATTGTGTATAGTACTCTTGCATTTAAGCCACATCCTTATTTCATTGGCTGCTCATGAATTCAGATATGCCAGTTACTTAAAAATGTTGATTCCAAAGATTTGCTTCATCATCTTTGCTGGAAAAAGAAGACACCACTGCTGAGACACCATTCTAAGTCTTCTAGCCATGTTCATCATCTTCATCCCCAGTTGCTGAAAACCACTAGCTAATAAATATGACTGAAGTTATTGTCTGAAGTTTCTTTGTTACGTAGATGAGTGAAAGCAGTAACTCTTCCCATTTTGAAGTTGGATAGCAGAAGCTTAGAAGAATGGCTAAGGTAGTAACCACGTTCACCTGACTGCTTGTTACACGAAGTGTCTGTCATCGGCATGCTCAGGGATATGCACAAAGGTTAAAAATACTCATCTTCAGATAAGACCTGCTTTAAGTTGTTGCGTATGTGTGCCAGTGAGAGATGACCTTCAGACCATTGAGTATCTGCTATGCGTTTAATGTTGCATGATGGCAGCCGGAACTGTTTGGGAATTTTCAGATGAAACTTCTCAGTATTATGACTGATGACCTATGGAAAGTGAAACTTGTTGTAGGAGCACATCTGCTAAATTTATTAAGAATTCTCTGGTCCAGAATGGGATTTCTGGTCAAATCTGAAAAAGTGGCAAAGGCCACGAAGCTTTTCGTGCCAGCTGCCCTATTAAATTGTGTACTTTGAAGCTGTATTCCTCTGGTTGCAATTTTAAATATTCTCAGCATCAAACTGTTAGTTGTGCTGTATATGTTTGCCCTGTTGAAGCTGGTCCACTGTTGTATATGTGTATTTTAGTACACATGTTTTAGAATGTATACCTGACACTCATGTTCTGAAATGCAGATGAATATCTTAATCTGTACAGCCATTTTAGCCACTCTCTGACTTAATCACTAATTTAATTATTTTTGCAAACTGGAACACCTCTTGCAGGAGTCTGAGAGCAACAGACCTTAATACAGGCAGTGGACTTGCAATTAGTATGCTTAACTGGCATATCAGAGTTTGAAATATCAGTTTAAACCAAAAATAGGATTTTGGATTCATACTTCCTTCATACTAGTTGATGTGCTTGGTGATGGGGCTATTGGTTCTTCAGGGGCAGAAGGAATAATGAGGCTGTATGAATAGGATTTATTATTTTGAATGCACATTTTCTTCTTGCGCTCTTCTTTCATCCCGTGTCTTCTGAAAAGCACCACCCATGTGGGAAATAAAAATAATTCCTAAAATTTACTGTGGTAAGTAAATATCCACAGGGCTAGTTATTAGTCAAGGCCAAGAGGTCTTTTTGCTCATCAACCCACACTGGAGTGAAAAGATTGTTCAGAGCAGCCAAAACACGCTTAATCCTTTGTCTTTTGTCTTCTCTTTAAGCCCTGGATGTATTTTGGGAGTAGGACTTGTTCTTTCACTTATGAGTCACAGCAGCCAAACAGAATTGCGAATGCATGTTTCTGCTTCACTGCGAAAACTCTGCAAATACCTCGACAGCAGTGAGGACCAAAGCAGATCAGTCCAGGAGGTATGACCTATTTTATCACAAATTTTAAAACTTGCTTTTACTTTGTTGCCTCCCTTTAATAACTATAGACTTTTTACTAAAGTTTTGTATCTGTGGTACTGGAATGCTTGGTTTCTGTTATTTGTTTCACATTATATGGTTTTATATCTGCTGAAGAAAACAATAAGAATAGAATAACTTGTAATGAGGCTCAGACATTACAAAACTGCCTGAAAAGAACAGACATCATTCTTTGAAGTGCTTCTTTAAATCCTTAACCTCAAATTAAATTATTGAAAGTTACTCAGGGTCTTGATTATCTGTGGGATACAGGTCTCTTCATATGTATTTGTTCACTGTTCATCTGATCTACTAGAAAGCAGACAGCAAGTTATTCTCAAAGAGAACCTTAATGCTGATGCTTGCTCCTTCAATATGCCTTCTTTTTCCTTCTTTGAAAGCTGCGGTCACTACTAATGTGAATCTTGCACTTCTGAATGCTGCTGTGGCCCCATTTGCTGTTCTGTGTTTTGAAGACTGCTAAGTCTGCTAAGTTTGAGCATGCATTTCAATTTATTTTCTTAGAATCATAGAATGATTTGGGTTAGAAAGGACCTTTAAAGGTCATCGAGTCCAAACCCCCTGCAGTGGCCAGGGACATCTTCAATTAGATCGCATTGCTTAGACCTGTCCAACCTGGCCTTGAACACTTCCAGGGCGGGCACATCCACAACTTCTCTGGGCAACCTGTTCCAGTGTCCCACCACCCTCAGAGGAAAGAATTTCTTCCGTATATCTAATCTGAATGTACCCTCTTTCACTTTAAAACCACTACACTTTGTCCTATCACTGCAACCCCCTGATAAACAGTCTCTCACCATCTTTCCTGGAGGCGCCGTTTAAGTCCCAGAAGGCCGCTATAAGGTCTCCCTGGAGCCTTCACTTCTCTAGGCTAAACAACCCCAACTCTCTCTGCCTGTCCTCATAAGGGGGATGCTCCAGCTCCCTGATTGTCTTTGTGGTCCTTCTCTGGACCTTCTTGAGCAAGTCTATGTCCTTCTAACATTGGCGGTCACAGAGCTGGACACAGCACTCCAGGTGGGGTCTCATCAGAGTGGAGTAGAGGGGGAGAATCACCTCCCTCAACCTGCTGGCCACATTTCTCTTGATGCAGCCCAGGATGTGGTTGGCTTTCTGGGCTGCAAGCACACATTGCTGGCTTATAGTCACTTTTCCACCCACTGCTACCCCCAAGTCCTTCTCCACAGGGCTGCTCTTGATCTACTCATCAGCCAGCCTGTATTTGTGCTTGGGATTTCCCCAGCCCATGTGCCCTTGTTGAACTACATGGGGTTTGCATGGGCCCACCTCTCAAGCCTGCTAAAATCCCTCCAGATGGCAACCCTTCCCTGCAGCATGTCGACCACACCACACAGCTTGGTGTCGTTGGCAAACTTGCTGAGGGTGCACTCAATCCCACTGTTCATGTTGCCAACAAAGTTGTTAAACAGCACTGTTCCCAGTACAGACCCCTTAGAAATGCCACTCATCACTGCTCTCCACTTGGACATCGAGCTGTTGACAGCAGCTCTTTGAGTGCAACCATCCAGACAGTTCCTTATCCTCCAAGTGGTCCATCTGTCAAATCCATGTCTCTCCAATTTAGAGACAAGGATGTTGTGCAGGACTGTCAAATACTTGTATAAGTCTAGGTAGATGATGTCAGTTGCTCTTCCCTTATTCACCAGTACTGTAAACCTGTTGTTGAAGGCCACTAAAACTGTCAGGCACAATTTTCCCTTAGTGAAGACATGTTGGCTGTCACCAGTCACTTCCTTATTTTTCATGTAGCCTAGCATAGTTTCTTGGAGGATTCGCTCCATGGTCTTGCCAGGAACAGAGGTGAGACTGGCTGGCCTGTAGTTCCCCAGGTCTTTTTTTCCTATTTTTAAAAATGGGGGTTATGTTTCCCCTTTTCCAGTAAGCAGGAACTTCACTGGATTGTCACAACTTCTCAAGTATGATGCATAGCAGCTTAGCCACTTTATCCACCAGCTTCCTCAGGACCCACAAATGTATTTCATTAGGTCCCATGGACCTGTGCACCTTCAGGTTCATTAGATGGTCTTGAACCTGAGCCGTTCTCATGTGAGCTGTTCTTCATTGTCCCAGTCCCCACTTTTGCCTTCTGCATCTTGGGCCCTGTGGCTGGAGCACTTGCTGGTGAAGACTGAGGCAAAAATATCATTGGGTACCTCAGCCTTCTCCACATCCCAGGTAACCAGGTCTCCTGTTTCCTTCTGGATGTGGCTCACTTTTCCTCTAGTCTTCCTCTTATCACCAATGTACCTACAGAACCTTTTCTTGTTACCCTTGATGTCCCTGATCAGATTTAATTCTAGCAGGGCTTTGGCCTTCCTAACCTGATCGTTGGCTGCTCAGACAGTTTCTCTGTATCCCTCCCAGGCTACCTGTCCTTGCTTCCACCTTATGGAGGCTTCCTTTTTGTGTTAGAGCTTGTCCAGGAGCTCCTTGTTCATCTGTGCAGGCCTCTCTGCATTTTTATGTGACTGTCTTTTTTGGGATGCTTCATTCCTGAGCTTGGAGAAGGTGATCATTGAATATTAACCAGCTTTCTTGAGCCCGTCTTTCCTCCAGGGCTTTATCCCATGCTACTCTGCCAAGCAGACCCCTTCTTCGGAAGTCCAGGGTAGCAAGCCTCCTGTGCGCGTGCCTCCTTGCACCTAAGGGTCTTGAACTCCACCATTTCATGGCCCCTGCAGACAAGACTGCGCTTGAACTTCAATATCCACTAGACTCTCCTTGTTGGCAACAAGAAGATCCAGCATAGCACCTCTCCTCATTGGCTCCTCTATCACCTGGAGAAGGAAGTTATCAACACATTCCAGGAACTTCCTGGGTTGCTTATGCCCTGCTGTGTTGTCCCTCCAACAGATACTGGGGTGGTTGAAGTCCTGCATGAGGACCAGGGCTTGTGAATGTGTGGCTGCTCCTAGCTGTTTACAGAGGGCCTCGTCCGCTCAGTCTTCCTGGTTGGGTGGCCTGTAGCAGACCCCCACTATACCATCTCCTCTTACTGCCCTCTCTTTAATCCTTACCCACAAGCTCTTGGTCAGCTCCTCATCTATCCCTAGGCAGAACTCCCTGCACTCCAGCTGGTCACTGACATAGAAGATGACACCCCCTTCTCATCTCTTCTGTCTGTCCTTCCTAAAAAGCCTGTATCCTTCCATGCCAACACTCCAGTCATAGGAGCCATCCCACCATGTCTCCGTGATACCAATAAAATCATAGCCCTGCAGGCATGCGTATGTCTCTAGCTCCTCTTGTTTATTCCTCATGCAATGGGCATTTGCATAGAAGCATTTAAGTTGTGCCCCCTATGAAGCTGACTTACTGGCTGGAATTTCTTTGTGCTGCTCTTTGAGTGCTCTCCTGCTGACCTGTGACCCCTCTCCAGGCTCTGGGCATCTATTGCTGGTACTGTCATCAAGCTGGCAGGAGTGGGATGGATTGAGGTTCCCCTCTGTGGGCAACTTTTGTTTAAAACCCTCTTCACCAGCTTGTCAAGCCTATAACCAAAAATGCTTTTCCGCTTCTCTGACAGATTTTGTCAAGATATGTTCCATAAGTTTTGATGTGGTCCATGTGCTAAGTCTATAACCTTGTTGAGGTAAAACTTGAGAAGGGAAACTGATGAAATTGGAGGATTTTACAACAGAAAATAAGAATCAGAATAAACAGGTGTTTTGCAAAAAAACCCACAACCCTGTATGTGATGTGTAAGCCTGTAGCAGCTGAACAGCTGAGTTGTATAACTGTTTTTTCTAAGGTATTTAGGAGATCGGTAGTCATATACTCTTTCCCCTCTTGGTACTGCTCTGAAAGCTCTTTATTAAAGGTGGTCTTTTATGGAGTTCAATTTTTTTTGTCAGTACATATGTGTTGGGGATTGGCCTTTTTCAGTTTATGGTTCAGGCATTAAAATGACCTAAAAATCATTTATCTCTCCCCAGAGATCTCAAAATGCTTTATTGCACTTAAACTGAGGTCCATAGGGCAATTTCCGAGATGAAAGGCAGCAGCTGTTTAACATCATGACATAGTTCAGGATGAGAAGCAAAACCTACCCTTTCCAATTAAAATCTCTGTAAGGAATTGTACAGATAATTACATGAGTAAAATCTGGCCTGCGTCCTAGGATGAATGCTACTATATTTAAGATGCACAGGAGGCTCTTCCAGAGCTATAAATGTCTGGGATATAATCTTGTACTTGAGAGGTGACTGGACTGCTGCAGCAAGAGGTGCAATCTAAGCATTACTTGCTCCAAGTCAAATTGTTTTCTGTCCTGTAACTTTCTACTTCCCTTATAGTCATGTGGTGTTCTGTTGCTTAGCTTTGGTACAAAGAGGGTTAAACAGTTGATACAGTTGGTTGCCTTGTTGAAAGTTTAGACTTCATTTCCTTATTCACCACATTTAAGGCTGAAGAACAGAAAAGGAGTAACACTTGTGAATCCTTCTTCAAGGACATGAGGCTGGTGTCATGCACTGTGCGTGGGAGACAGTTCTACTACATGCTCCTCTTCTGGTCTTGTGGACCTGCTTGTAGACCTGATGGGATCACAGCATGCTCTATATGTACGCATAAATAATGATCAGACACTTGTGTTGAGAAGAGTAACTCCATTTGTGTGAAAGATCTGGAGTTTGACCTACATAAAACCAGAAGTACTTCCAAGCTTTAGTTGCATTTGTTTAATGGTAGCATCAATGAAGAATCTTTCAGAGAGGGAATAAACATCTAAAAGTATAAATTAAAAATGTCATGACTTTTTTATAACGCTGGCACATTGCTCCATGTGCACAGTGAATTTGATCAGACACTGGTTAACAGATTAAATAAATTTTTTTTCAGGTGCTTGCCTATTCTGTGGCCTGTTCTTGTGTCTCTTCTTTCAGCGTTGGAATCACAGAAGCAGCTGAGGCTGAGGAGGCCATGAACAAGCTACGGACCTTAATGGAAAATAATCAGCAGGTCATAATTCAACGTTTGGGCTTTGCTTCAGTTCTGTTTTTCTCTTATCTATCTAATACTGGATACTGCTTTACCCAGACTGGAACTTCAGGAAAATTATTATTGGTCTACTTTCAGCATTAACTAATGTTGAATGTGTTGTGCATACCATGCAGTTACCAAGACTACCACTTGTTCCACTGATGCATTGTCTACACGTGTACAGCAATTATCACACAGTGAGATAAAAACATATTTTGTATGTTTGATTACATTTAGAAGGGAAATCAGTATTTCTGAGTTCTTCATGTCTTTAGTCCCTGCATCCTGCCAATTTTTGTCTCTTTTATAACATGTTTCTTTAGATTCTTTTTCTTGGTAGGAAAATACATCTACTGTGTTCTTCTGAATTTTGACTTTCTGTTAGCCTCCAGACAGTGCATCATAACCACAACCACAGCTGCCTTCAGGTGTCTGTTTCATCCCTAGCATCCTAGAGTTGCACTCTAAAAATGCCAAAAATAATCTCCATATTTTGGTTCATGTTCCATTTTGTTAAATGCTTGACAGAAAAAAAGGGGGGGAAAAAAAAAAAAAGGCAAACATTTTGAATCAAAGTCTGCTATTTAACCAATTGTTTGGAATGTTTATCTGGAAAGTATGAAGTCAAAACAAACTGTCTTTGCTACAGCTTTTTATTTTTGTATCAGAAAGTCTGCTCTAAAATAAAGGCTCCAGATCAATCTGTGTGCCAAAGATTAGCATTTAATCTCAGAAACTCCTATGTCACTTGACACAAGAAAAATACTTCCAATAAGAAAGCATCCAGTATTTTAGATAAAGACATTACTTCTAATTATTGGGAAATAATATATACTTAAGTAATGTTTCAATAATAAATATTAAAAAGTATACAGAATCCTTTGGAAGATCTGTTTTTTAATGTGTCTTTTTCACCTTACAGACCCCCGGATTTGCTTTAGCTCTAGGTACAATAGTACATGGATTGTCAGCTTGTGGTCATGGGAAAGCTGTAGACCTGAGTAACAGATTAATGCCAGCCTGGATAAAAGTTGTGCTTGCAGAGGTAAAGAGTTTGAATTCATATGCTGGCTTTTGCCAGGAGTGGTGGTGGTGGTGTGATTTTAAATGAACAGTAGGGACATAGTTTTCCTTGCTTCTGCAGGAATCATGCTAGGAAAAGTTAGGACTATATGAACATGCTGTTTGATTGATATTTGGAAACAAAAATTTGGGTTGTTGGCTAAGAAAAACAAGACCTCTGTTTCTCTTCTGCTTAGATGATTTATGGGAGATGCTTATCTCAGTGAGATTTCAATTTAGACATTGTTACTAATTTGGAACAATATCCAAGGATCAAATTTAGGTTATTATATGAAGAAGCCTTGTTAAATTAGATGCTACTTATCAAAATTAGGCTAACAGGATGGTGATTATAGTGTCTTGGTTGTTACAATAATTTTAATTTATATCATTGTAACAAAAATCATGTGTTTGAAATCAAACTCTAAACTTAGGCATTAAGATTGCAGCTGAATGTAAGTATTAATAAAGAAACAGTGCTTCAGAGTTGAATTACACTGGTGTATTTTGTGGAACACAGGCTGTGCTAGAAGAAAGTGATATGTCAGGGAGAAATACATATTGATTTCAGACTGAGGGGAGGGAGGGGGGAAGCTGTATATAGAGCCTTTGTTTATCAAGAGAGGGATGAATAATTGTCCAGCATGCTGAAGTCTAACCTGAACAGGCTTTGGGGATGAGAGGTGTACAGGTGGTAGCAGTCATGGTTTTTAAGTTGGAAGAAATGAGTGTTTTGTCCTACAGTAGTGTTGTGTAACTGCATTGACTGACCCTGAATTACGTTTTCAGGGTTCTCCCACAATGCAGCGTCTGGCTGCTGTCAATGGGCTGGTTGCACTGGTGGGCTCTGAAGGGGGCATGATACAGGTGAGAACAACAAGCAAATGGTACCTTTATCTCTTTTAGAAATTTGGCTAAAAGGCAAAATGGAATGACATTGTCTGCATCGTTACAACAGTGGTTATATACCAGCACATCCTGTTTATGCAGTAGTGAGTCATGTTGGATATGAACCAAGCAGGTTAGAATCACAATGTGTAAAATGGAGTTTGTTTCATTTTCCCATCATATAGCCCCTGTTCAGTGCCACTCGAGAAGAGTTTACAGTCATGTAGGATTTCTCCTTTTCTCCTCCACTCCCCCCATATGTGCAAATGTAACCTGCCTTTTCAGAACCTGTTCTCTGTTTTGTTGTTTCTTTTTTTTTTCCTTTATAAGATTCACATTATTGTTTTTTCTTTTCTCTGGCAGCTGAAATCGGAGAGCATTCAGTCTTCCCAGTTTCGAAGTAAGCTGAATGAAGTCATCAGAACCCTTACACAGGTAAGAAGGTAGGCACTGTTTCCTGCGTTGGATAATGCACTAGGGTACTGTGACACCTTGCACAAACAGGCCAAATCTATTTAAAGAAACTACATAATGTCTGTGTCCAGTTTGAATGAGGCAACATAGGGAAATTTGTTTTAACTAGTGGTTTATTGTCTCAACAGATAATCAGTTTTTCGGGGCAGATTGGCCTTCAGACAAATGCAGCAGTACTTTTGGGACGCCTCCATATGTCCTGTTTGTCTTCTACCCACAAGAGGGCACCTGGTAAGATGCTTTATTATTGCTGCCTAAAGAATATCTGAAAGTAGCACCTAGCTAAAAAGGCAGCCAGGGACACATTAGACAATGCAAACTAGACATTGCAGCCCCGTTAAATGACATGACAGCCTTTGAATCAGAGACTTCATGGTCCTGTGTGCCAGACCTGAAGGCTAGAACACGCAGGAATCAGTGTGCTGAATAGGATCCTTCCCATCTGCTTTTACTTGCAGTATCAAGGTATGATTCTGAGTTGTTCTGGTCAAACTTGTATATTGCTTCTGACTTTATACTTTTATAAAGCAAATTGTAAAGAATTTTTACACTGCATATAGCAACGTGATTGGCATCTACATTATCCACTCCATGTCCTGAGAACTGATTAATCTACTCTTTGTTCTAGCACTTCCCACTGTCTAAAAAGCCAGCACAACATAACAAGAGGAGTAAGCTGACTTTTCAAAAGTATTTTTCTAGAAATCTGTGGTTAGATGAAGTCAAAAGCTAGTGTTCTGTGCCCTGTCAGTGTAGCAGTTAGCATAGAAATTCATATTATGTCAATACATCATTCCCTTCTGGTGGTGTTTCAATATTTGTTGGTAAAATACAGGTAGGATTACACCACTGATGAAATACCAGTAACAGGAGGGAACTAATAAAGTGGAAGATGTTCACCTCAGTGTGACCCAGATTGGAAACCAATAATATGAAGTGTAGATAAACTTCCTCATTACAGAAAAAAGATTCTCAGAGTTTCTACTTTTGTATAAACTTGGCACATGTACCTGAAGTTAGATAGATATGGAATGTCTCCGTTGTATTAAACTTACCAAGCTTTTGAAGGTCTCCCTTTTGAAGCCTGACTTGCAGTGGCTGATAACGTTTTAAGGAAGTTCTTATCCCTAGCTTTTCAGATGATCAATTAATTTGTTTTTTCAGACCTGGCACCTCTCACCAACACAGTTGTTAAGCTTGCTTTAAAAGCAGAAAGGTCAGTGCATCTATGAATAATGTTGTGGTCTAAATGCTTTGAGTCACCTGCGGAATTAGTTAGCTCAAACATAGCTCAGTTTGGCCTTTGAATTTACATGGGAACTGGAGGTAATAATTTCTGCTGACATGTTTTAGTATGTAAACAGTATTTTTATCTTCACAGTTCCTCCAGATTTTAGCTACTTGCCTGAAAACAGCTTTATCAGGGCAGCCATTGACTTTGCCATTGAAAGTGGAAAAAAAGGTAAGAAGGGATCAAGCTACAGTATCCTTCTGGGAAATTTGTTATGACTGTAAAAGGTGACACTAACAACCTGCTTTTATTTTCTGAGAAAGCTTCTCTAAATACTAATTTGAACTTCACTAATGTGGGATATTTAATCACTAAACAAAAAAATTGAGTAACAATCTAAAAGATAAGGTAGAATTGTGTAGTTAGAGCTTTAGTTTTCTCTACTGAATTTTTATGACTTTCTAAACCCTTTCCCCTTCACCCTGTGTCTGTGAGATGATAGATCTTCCCTGTGGGAAGTAAGGTCAAATTACTTTAAGTGTTAGCATGTATCCTCAGGAATACTCCATCATCAGGCAAACTTTGTGCTGCCCCTTATTTCGGTGATCCTGGGTTAAGACTTTCTCCCTACCAGAGTAGTATTCAAATGGCTTACTGCTACGTGTGATAAATGCAAAGGAACTTGAAGAAAGTATGCTTTCACATGAGGAGTTCTAGTAAGAAATGTCTTGGAGTACAGTCTCACGGGAGATAAAACAGAGGAGATTATTCCTGTGTGGAGCTAAGTGAGCTCACTGCTGTCCTATGAAGCAGGCTTTGCTTCCAGTGGAGGTAAAAATTGCCCATGCCTTGCCTCCAGGAGGACTTTCACTGAGTTAACTCCCAGTGTTTAAGTAATACGGTATGTAGCAAAGGTTAGCACCTGTCTGACAGTTTTGGTGGCCTGCACCTACAGGATGGGGAAGGAAAACAGTGTCAGAAAACTTTGCTGTTCTACTAATAAATGCAAAAATACTGCCCTACTAGATGAGGAATATCTGTAGTTAACTCATAAATGGGATTAATGAGAAGGGACCAGAAAGTTTCTATTTATCAGTAGCAAAAAGACTTTTTTGATAGGACATTAGTGTTAAAAATACAACTGTTGGTTGCAAACAAGAAATAGCTAATTCTCAGGTACAGAAAGAAATAACATAGATTTTGTAATGCTTTTCAGTTCTTCACTACAGATTGGTCTTCAGTGCAGTGTTCACATTTTTTTTCCTGAACTGTTTAGCCCAATGTGTTTGTATGAAATTCAGACTCTTGATTGAATCTTCTATTGTAGGCCCTGAATCTGTCCCAGCTGAGCTAGTGAAAGTAGCACTGGCACCCATTGCAGTAGTTGGAGAAAGCCATCAGTATCCACCTGTGAACTGGGCATCCATTCTTTCTCCTTTGATGAGGCTAAACTTCGGTAAGATTAATGGTTTTCTGTTAACTCCTTTGTACATGTCACGAGATTTCTTTACCAACATGGCTTTCACAAATTTTAGAGCCCACTTCAGGGCTTGAAGTTATTGCAGGGATTGAAGCATTTGCTTTCAAGACAAAATTTTTGATGTTTGAAAGCATATATTTGTGATTGCCATGTGGACACTGTTTTAACTCACACTTCCTGAGACTAGAGAAGATCAGAGCTGAGAGGTTTGGAGCAGTAATGGAAGTTCCCTAAAACATTGATGAAATTGGACTGAATTTCTGATTTGAACTATTTACAGTAAGAACACCCCATCATGAAACTCAACTAATTGTATCTTATTTTCAGTACCCAATAAATTCTGGTCCAGTGCCTGTTTCAGAGGCTGCAGGCAGCTTTATCACAAGTTTGAACTGCTCTGTATCTATCACTAGTCTGAAATATACTTTCTACTAAATTACACAGGGTGACAGAAAAGCGTATCCCTTTTTTCCATCATAATCCTGATTTTGTCATAGCTTCTAAGAGCATATTTTTTTCGTGCTGGAGAGTAGCTTTGATCCTAAAGTATTGTGTTGGACAGCTTGTATAATGCTTTTCTACTCAGGATATCTGTCAGTGCCTGTTTTGGTTGATAAAAGTGTTTCAAACTCATTTCCTCAAAAAACCCCATACTACTGTGCAAAGTTCTGTTTTCCCCTGTTTGATTTCATTGAGTTTTGTTTCTCCAGATTGATCTAACTGTTATTACTGACCTTGCAGATTGTTTTACAGTTGGATTGGACAAGTTCTGTTGTGTTTAAATTGATGCGTTGCAGAGCCCAGAATATGGAAGATTGTTCTTACTTATTTCTGGTGTTCATTTAACTTATACAGAGTGCTTGTATAAGCACTAGAAATCATGGAACTGTCCTATAAGGAAAAACTACTTCCTCGATACAGAAAGATTTGACTACATATTAAACATATTTGCTTAGACTTGAGCTGCAACTTCTGTTTTACTTGGGTTTCTTGCAATTGATTGTTGTGTCTTTTGTAAGAATAAGTGAAAGAATTTACTACACTGAGCTCCATAGTCTATGCTGATGCAAATTTATGTGCAACCTTATGAATAACTGAAACTTGTTAGCTGAAACTTTTTAAATGTATGGGGGATTTTTTTATTCCTGTTTTTCACTTAGGAGTCTTACTTTTGTAAAGCAGGGGAATACCAGAGGAAGCAGTACATTAGTTTTGTGGCTATGATTTTATTGACTTCAGACAGCGTCATAGTCTACATTTTTATACACAATTTCTCTTGACTGTCCCTCTAGTGTTGTGAAAGTTGCTCACCCTTCGCTAGATTTATACACGCAGGTCTTGCTGTCTGCTGATGAGCAATATTCATGTTGTGCTAGAAAGTATAACGCAGACCAGATGTATTATAACCTAACAGTCCACCTATGAATGTGTCACTCTTAACACACTTTTTCCAGGAACAGCTGTATCATGAATATTTTTATAAAAGCTAGATTACATGCTTAGTTCTGTAGGTCACTTATTCATGTCAGAGAATTCATGAGTGTTTTTATGAACCTTAAATGTTTCATAAACTCTACTCTGAATATCTGTTTATCTGTAAACCTATTGAAGACAACAGATTGCTTTCCCATCTTACAAGGTTGATTGGTTTATTGCACTTACTGATGAGCAGTAAACCATATAACATGATTGAAGTGATACCTGTTCGTTATTCAGTAGAGCTCTGAAGTAAACAGTCACAGGCAAATCATAATCTGTGTCTTAGCAGTCCAAGGTAGTGAGAGAGAATTTTTGAATTGGTTACCAAAGTATCTTGTTACAATTTCACCCTTTCCAAGTTCTGCAAATAACTTCTCATACAAGATGTTTTATTTACAAGAGCCTGATAGTAGACTCTTAAATATTTGCTTTATTCATGCACTAATGATAACTTCATAAAAGTCATGGTATGTATTTTGCCACTTTCATTACTGAGAAAACATTTTAACTTGAAAAACACCAGTTTAAATTTTATGCTGACATTTAACAGTAATGTATCTTCTGTCTAATGGGTCAAATATTAGTATAATATTTAAACTGTTTGTCCTTTCGTTGCTGTAGCAATCGTGAACTATATGGAAGCCATGCCATTGCTCAGAGTACCTCTTCAACATATTTATGACTAGTTTTTCTATTAAGAAACAGGCTGTAACAGTCATTAAGGGGACTTTAAACGAAAAACAGTAAGGATTCCTTAGCCTTTATAACTTCTTTGCACAGTAAGGTTTTTCCACATGTTAACCTGGAGAATGCTACAACCAAGCACCCACAGTAGTAACAGTGACTGACCTCTGTTCTGTGACATATTATATGAATATGGGGTACATGGAACAGTAGACATATGTGAAGAAATGCTAATTAATTTTACATTTAGAAGGAAGGAATATTAACTCATTTATCCTTCAGTAGATTAAATCTTCTCTTTAATTGGAAAGTTTTTTAATTCTTACTTTTCTTATCATTCCCACATTTTTCTTCTTGAGTGAATTAAAATGAACTTGGACAAATCCCAAGTTCTTGCTGAAAGTGCATGAATGGGAGGAGGAGACTTCTAACATGTACATGTTAAAAGCTTTATGCAGCATCTCTAGAAAAGCACATTTTAATATAGTGCTCTAGTAGAAAAAGAACCCTCTTATTTTATGAGTTGAGAACAAATTTAAAATGAAAATAATTTCTTCATAACTTCTATTTGTTTTCTTCTGGTTTAGGTGATGAGGTAAAACATCTCTGCCTTCAACTGGCTGTGACACAGGCCCAGTCGTCTCAAACTGCAGCAATGCTTTTGGGGATGTGGGTGGTACCTCCTCTTTTCTACAGTCTCAGTGTATGTATGTCAGAAAATCTGTGGGACCTCAGCACATCTTTCCTATAAGATTCCACAGTGATGATGATCAGGATGTCTCATCACAAAAGGATTACTGGGTTCAGAATTCTGCAGAAATACTGTTTAGCAAATATTTATATTGGGAGAAAGGCTATTCTGAGACCTTGACATTCAAGGCAGACTTAAGATCTGCTACACAGATTGCTTAAGACCTTTTTGGTCCCTCTTATTTCATGCTATAGTTCTGATGACCTAGAGGTGTAAGAAGGCATGGCACATAGGGAGAAAAAGTATCTTTTATTATACCAGCTGGTAGTCTTAGGAAACTAAGTATAACCTGCCAGTCCAAAAGCTTGCCTGCTTCTTCCAGCAGTGTTTCTTGATCTAGTAAAGCATTTTACTACCTGAAAACCTTGCCTTTATTCTCTAGATAGTCAGTAGACTCACGTAAAGTATAATCAAATTTGAGCTTATCCTCCACTGCAGTTCAGTTCTTGTCACAGAGGTACAACATGGACTCCATGATACAGTATGTAAAACTCCCTGAATCCCACAGTGCACTTGACTGTGCAGTTCTGTCAGTTTATACAAGTTGAGGAGCAGGTTAATGACAATTCTGAGAAAAACAGTTGTGGATCTCTTTGATCTTTTCCAGTTTTTCAAGGGGTAATTTTATCTTGGAATTTTAACTCACTAGTTTTCACAGATATACAAACACTTGGTGGCAGTTTTAAGATACATAATTGGTAAGACACCCAAAAAAGAAGGATTTTATTTCAGAATACCTGTTTCTCACTGCAGTGGGGATTTGAGGTCACAAAATGAGCTCAGCCACAGGGTGGGTACACTTTGGATTCCTTCAAGGTAATTATTCATTCCTCACTAGCTAGCAATATTAATGTCACTAGTAGTACCATACTTCAGTCATTGGCTGTCTAGTCAGTCTGTATGCTTTATGTAAGAATGCAGTGGGCACTATGTAGTAAAATCACAATTGTTCTGCCAATACAGAGACATGATATCTAGAGTTCATTGAAAGAAAGTTCCTAAATGTTTAAGGAAACTAGAATATTGACATGTTTGAACTCTTTTTAATACAAACAACTTCATCAGAAGAGGGAAGAAGAATTGAGAAGTATTTATGACTTTGAGTGCTTTTTTGAAGTGGTGTTTGAGCCCCTTTTTTATTATTTCATCCTTTATAGCAATAGTTGAAGGTCAGTGAAGAGCTAGAATCTGAAACTATACAAAAGTTTTTGCCTTTCAGATAAAAACCCAGAAATACCTTTCCACATCCCTGTCCCTGTGGATGAAACATGTTACAGAAGACAAACTACAGTCTTTTACAGAAGAGTTTCTGATACAACAGTTTGAAGTGAAGAACCACACAAAAAACCCAGTACTTTGCCAGTGTGTTTTACAAGGGCTCATGCAAGCAATGCAACTTCCAAACCCTGCCCTGCATTGCTGGAGCTTTCTGTGCCAGGCTGTGGAGAAAATATTTGAGCTTCTACCAAATGAGGTTCAGGTAGGGAATAAGTATGAGGTGTATGAACTATTATAACTGGATTTTTTTTCTAATACGAAGTCCCATCTTTTTGCACTGACCAATCAGATTTGAAACATGATGTAGATGTAAAATTTTTAATGATAGTAGTTAAGATGCCCGCATAATTTCAATTAAGTTACTTTCAGATATTCTTTACAATATGACTAAGTTGTGAAATCAATTTAATGTATACTTTTCCGTCTTAAATGATTTGGTAATGGAAAAATACCGTATTAGTACTGAAATAAATGTTATTGAAATGGAAGCATAGAATAATCAGAAGGTTTTTTTTTTTCCCCACAGGGGATTCAGCTTTTCACAATGTCTTAAACAAACTGTCAAGCTACAGAAGATATCTTCAAGGAAGGGCACTTTTCCATTAAAATAAAATGAACTATTTGAAAGTTTTCAGATACCGTTATTCCTTAATAATTAAGTACAGTGAAGTCCGAAGTCCCCAGCAAATATAGAATTTCTAAAATAAAATTAATAAAATGAAGCTAGAGACTAGATCAGATATTCATCAGGATCATTAACATGAAGTTCCTGAACTCACAAATTTTAATGGTAAAGAAACCTGGAATATCTAAACATGCATTTACTTTTCTGTTTCCAGAGAGGTGAACTGGAGATGTATATTGATGTAGCAAAATGTCTCTCAGAAATGATTGATTCAGAGATTGATCGCATTATCCAGATCTCTAAGGTAATGATGTTTTATTCCTGGTCTTTTATCACCAAATCATGTGAAACAAGCATGCCTTACCATTTTTCTTGTCACCATAGTGTTTTAACTCATTGGGAGCATTGATTGTTTTATCTGCTATGCAAGAGTGTTCTGGCTCTAATTTGCAGGTAGCAGAGAAAACAAAAGTGATAAGAGCCCATACCCAAAACTTTCTCAAGGCGACTGAAATACTACTCATTTCACATGGAGATTTGAACTGGAGAGTCTAAATAACTTGGTCAAGTTCAGGCATTCAAGTTCACCGTTCTCTATTAGCAGAACAGGAATGGTATTAGATATTCTGGATCCCAGACGAATGGTGCTAACAACAGATCATTACTCCTCTTTGGTTAATGTAACTGCCTACTTGAAACAGACTGTAAATGCATCCCAGTGACTAGCTGTGCTTGAACTGGTGGATCCTTGCTTTGAACTGGTGGATCCTTGCTTCTGTTTAAAATACGAAAAACGTTGACTGAACAATCTTTCATGGTTGACTTAACATGCTATATTTGGATTCACACTCAGAATGTTTCCTGATGGATAAGATTGGCTAAGGATGGCAACAGAATAAAAAAGCTTTCAGCATCTAGATGATCAGTGGAATCAATTGGCAGCAGAATTCTTAGCAGCTGAAATGCTAAGGAAATGACCTGGTGGAAGGACTTGATGGTTTCAGGTCAGGTTGTTATAAACAAACATCCATGACATGAAACCATGTTCTTCTGTTTACTGGCAGATTCACTAGAGAGTCAAGTATTTGAATAGGTTAGGGCAGCTGAACTGCCATTTCCTTATATCTTTGAGTTCTTATTTCCACACTGGAAAACACCATTTAAGAAAACCTCTGTCACTGCAGTGAATCTGTCTTGCAAGAAGACTTGAGTCTCCAGAACTGTCAAGCTGGTTCATTTCAATTTAAAGAGGAATGTGAAATCTGAAGCAGTATGAAAATGGTCAAACTGTACTGAGTTGCATTTTGCTAGACTGTTTATTCACATGTAAGATTAAAGTAATATGTATATGTAATCTGTATTGAAGAAGAATGAGCCTGTTAGGTAATCATAGAATTTCACCCCTTTTTTTATAAAGAGAAATTCAGGATCTTATGTTCACACAGAAAAGGTACATTTTAATTTAACATTTTTTTATTGTGTTTACAGGACAATATAGAGAAGGCTACGTTCACAAAAGTGTATCTAATTTCTCAAGGCAGATTGCCTATGATGAACTTGAGGGCCGTGATTGATACTGTTGCACAATATCACCAGAAAGAAAATATTTTATGGATGCTCTTGCACAGTTTCTATCATGCTCGTATTGTAAGCCATGAAAACACAGGTAAGGTCAGACTCGAAAAGTCAACAATAAAATCAACAGATGTCAACATTCTTAAGACGGTTTAACCCAAGTGTTTCCAAATTTCTCCATATTAGAAACTACTCAACCTTAGAATCGTTCTGCTCTTCAAATACATGTATCAAACATTGCTTTTATGTTTTTCTCATATTCTTTGTTTCTGTGGATCAGCTACAAGTCTTTTGTCTCAGCCAGATGGTTTGCAGACCAGAGTTTTGACTAGATCTATGTCTCCTAGTCTTTTTAGACTTTCAGTGTAAGTTAGTGTTAGAAATGTTACATAGCACGTCAGAGACCAGTAACAGTGCAACTCTGCTAACCTTCAGATGTAGTATCTGACTTACTGGTGTGTGACACAGTAGGTAGAGGCGTGTTCCTATGAGTCTGACTGAACCAAGGACATAGTTTGCTTTTCTGAACTCCCTGCATTGAGTCACCATAGGAAACAAATTGCCCTTCCACCTCTTCATAATCATACCAGATAATGATCTGGTGTGTTAATGAGTTGGGCTGGTTCAGCTAAGGTCTGATAAAGCACTGGAGCTGATGCAAGAGTATTAGCAGAATCACACAGGAAGATAAAGAAGTGTGCTGTGTTTCTGTGGTGTGTTTTTTTGGTAGTGGGGGAGGGGGCTACAGTGATGGCCCCTGTGAGAAGCTTCTTGAAGTTCCCCTGGCTTCAAGTTGGACCTGCCTCCAGCCAGGGCCAAACCAATCAGCGACAGTGGCCATGCCTCTGCAATAACATATTTAAGAGGGGAAACAGGAGTGAGGATTGGGAATTATGTTAAGGAGTTACAAGAAGGACAAAGACCCAGGTCATTGGAAGGAATGAGAAGGAAGTGGGGGAGTTGCACTGGAGCACAGACCTCTGTATCCCATGGTGAGATGGCAGGGCTGCCCCCCTGCCACCTGTTGAGGTCCACAGTGCAGCAGAGGGCTGACCTGAAGCCTGTGGAGGAGCCCACAGCAGGACAAGCAGCTGCAATTAAAGGAAGCTGGGACTCTGAGGGGAGAAGTGGCCCCCACTGTTGTAGTTTGGCACTGGGAGGACTGCAACACACAGGGGTGACCCACATTGGAGCAGCACGGGAACAGCAGCATCCCATGGGGAGGACTCATGCCAGAGAAGGTTCATGGAGGACTGTCTCCAGTGCGAGGGGCACCCAATGGAGCAGGGGAGGAATGTGAAGCATTCACCCCACCTTCTGAGCAGGAAGGAGCAGTGAGCTAAATTAACCCACATCCCCTGCCCTCTGTGCCACTGAGGGAGGAGGTGGAAAGATCAGGAGCAGAGCTGAACGGGGCAAGAAGAGAAGGGTGGGGAGAGGTGGTTCTTTTGGATGTGGTGGGCTTCTCACTGTCCCACTTTGTCTGTTAAGTGTTGTCTTTGTTAGCATTTGAATTAAAGTGATCTTTTATTTTCTTCCCCTAACGAGTCTGTCTTTTGCACCTGACCATAATGGGTGAGCCACCCCTGAGCCATTGTGCTTATTTTCTTCTTCCCATTCCTGAGAGAGGAAGGGGTGAGTGAACAGCTGGATAGTGTTCAGTTGCCCTCTGGGCTCAAACCTGGACAAGGAGGAAGAAGCAATAACAGAGGGAGGCAAGAATGAGGTCTCCTCATTTTCATTGCAGAAGGATCTTTAGCTGCCTGTGTTCACAGAACAACTTCAGAGCATTATATTGCTAGGTGGCTTAGCTGTCAGCAATGGTTGAAGAACTTCAAGCAGTAGTGAGTTTTGAATGAGTGAAGTGAGGCCACAGGAAGAAGCATAAAGGAGGGGCCACATATAAAGAGTACAAGGAAATGGTAGTCTGTGAAGTGACATGGTCTTGAGGGTGAGTTATTAGTTTGTAGGATGTGGAATGGACTTTGCACAGCAGAATCTGAATCAATTAAATATGTTCCATCCTTGTGTTGAGGGCTGATTTTATTTGCATACCTTGACTGTATTTTACTGATCCTCTCTGCATTGTAGGAGGATCTTTTCAGCATTCCCTACATTCTTGGTCAAAGTACAGTGATAGCAGTGCTCAACTTAGATGAAGTACTGGGTCAAAAACTTCAGGGAGGCTTTAGGATTCTGTAGCAGTCGTGTGCAGACTTGGTTGGTGAGACCTGCAGGTTTCCATTATGCAAAATAATTCTCACTCAGCAATCCTTTTTCTGTGTGTTGAGTGTGTGGCCTGCATTCTGAGCAAAGTTTTTGTACTGTTTAAGTGCCCATATGCCTTCTGTCAGTGACAACCATGAATCAAATGTGATAGTGGTATTGGTGATGGTTATTCTTCCACAGTCAGTGCTTTGTTGCTGTAGTGATTCCCTATGCTTGCTTTTTAATTAAAAATGGTGCATTCTAGTGTTCTCTGTAAGTCTGTGTTCTTGTTCTTCTTTTAGGAGTGCTGAAAAGAGTGGACTGGCTGCTAGACCTGATGGGATACATCAGAAATTTAGCATACAAGTCAACATCCTTACAAAATGTTGATCTTAAAGAGGTATATGCTGTGAAAATACTTTGCAACTTTCAGGAAAAAAAGGAGGTTTTGATGTGTTTCACATTCTTCCTCAGCAATAAGTATTATTTGCTATGCTTCTATATTTTAGAAGATTGTCATCTTACTTCCACAGAGAAATTATTTTCAATTTTTGTGAATATATGTGTATTTAAAATTCTTACTTTAAAACAACCATGACATAAATTATGATGGAAGCTAAAGGCAACTTAAGGAAATCACTGCTTCAAATTTACTGTATTTAGAACAATTAAAGGAGAAATTTGATTTCACCAGTAGAACTGTCTAAGTAGGTGGTCAAAACTGTCCAGATGCTGTTTCTAAGAGGGCTCGGACAGTGTTAGGGAAGTAATATTGTTCATTGTTACATCTGTTCAGCTGTTTAAGGCTTCCCGTTGAGGACATAAAATAAGCTACTGCTTAGATCAGAAATACATTCATTACATTGCTGCAATATTTCCCAACCATTTGTAGCACCACAGGGGTGACCATCACCAATTTACCACAACAGTCAGCTTGCTGTAAAGAAGTTGTTTGCCCATTTGAAATGAAATGTGGATCAGCGTTAATCTAAAGGTTGATTTTAGAAGAGTGTGGTTTTGCATTTCTTTCTGAAGACATTTCAGTTTGATTAGGAGTTTAGAAAAAGGCTTATGCTGCTTCAAAGTGTGAAAGAATAAGAACTTTTTAGTTCTTGCATTTTGAATGTTGGCTGAATTTGATTGTTTTGAAGAGCAAGCCACCATTTGGGGTTTTGGTTTGGATTTTTTCTATTGTTTTATTTTCCCCCTTCTTTATTATTAATTTAATAAAGTGTATTTTTGCCTCTTTCCTGTTCAGTGCATAGATTTCTTCCTGTGGCTCTTCGCAGCTTCTGTGGTGACCTGGGCTGACCATGGTGCACCACTACTGCTTGGCCTCAGTGCTAAGTGGTCGCAGTGGAAGCACCAAACAATATTACCAGAATTATCTGAGGATCACATTGGCAAGCACCCCACTGACAAGCTTGCTGTACAAGAGACTCTGACTCTCCTTCCAAGCAGCATTTCCCTTTTGCTGGCTAAAGAACCTTGGAAAGAACACACACAGAAGGTAAAATTGCATGTAGTCAGAAAGCACCCTATATTTGTAGTCAGCTCAAGTCTTACTTAGGTGGAGCAGTTATTTCCTCTATATCTATTGCATCTCACTAGTCATCTTGGTTTTCTTTATTTGCAATCAGATATGACATCTCAAAAGATCAAATGTAGTTTTTTAAGTAAAATGCAAGAGTTGTGAAGAACAAAAACATTCCAGTGTTGGGAGTCAAACTCTTAGGAGGGTACAGATGGGAGAGGATAGTTGGCAGCTGCTGGTAGCAAGTCAGTCTTTTAAACACTGAAAGACACATCCTCTTGCAGTTGGTGCAGCTGGACATCACTTCAGTGGTAATTTAGGGCAATCAGATCTTCCGTGCAGTTTGTAGCGTGTGCCATTTGTTTTTAAGTGTAAGTTGAAAATAATTGCGGGAAATTGTGCCTCATTTGGCAAGGCTACTGTAGATTGCTTGTGGCTGAGATATGTGGAAATATTATTATAAACTTAGAGATTAATAGTTAGCCGTTTTGTGCAAACCAGAATCCATTAAAGACTGGCTCCTATACACTCCTGTACTCAGAGTTACTGCTGAACTTAGAATTCAGAATGTGGGGGGAATGCAGGAGTGGGTTGTTAATATGCAAGTGCCTAATTGGGCTTTAGGGAAGGGTTTGATACTATGCCCTGAAAATCATCCTGATAAGTTTGAAATGCCACATTGTCCTCCAGGCATCCTGTGCTACCAGAAAAAACAATGAAAAATGAGAGAGGTCAAAAGAGGGACAAAGGCAGTAAGAGTTCTGAGGGATTTGCAGTAAAATGTTTGGACAAGAGACCAATAAGAAAGGATCGTATTAATAACATAAAGGCATGAACAGTCAAGACAGAGGGAAACTATTTACTGTGCCTTCTTCGTTATAAAGAATTATTGCTGAGGTAATGAGAAGAAACAAAGGGAGTTTCAGATCCAGCTGTAGGAGAAAGTGCACTGACAGTGAGATGTACACTAAGGTGTTTGGATAGTTTGGGCTAGATTGGCCACTCCCTCTGATTAGATAACTAAGAGTTTAGCAGCAATCGGATGTTGCGTGTCACATGGAAAGGAATTTTTGGTGTTCTGATACAGAGGCTCTTTTAATTCAGATTTTCCTTTATATTTCAATCTTTAGTTTATTGACTGGCTGATCAATATGATGGAAAGTCCTAAAGAAGTATTGTCAAAATCTTCCACAGACCTGCTGAAAGGTAGGATGTTTTTAACTGGGTCCTTATTTTTGCATAGCTATCAGTACAGATCAAAATCCAGCTGTTAAAAGGAGTGAATCTATACCTGTGTTAGTAAAATGACTAGGGAGAATATTCTTACATCTTGTCTAGTGTGGATGGCACAAATTAATGTAATTTGTCCTTGTTTTCACAGTTACACTTCTGGCCTTGAGATCTCTTGCAGAGTTCAAGAAGAAAGCAGTGTGGACTAAAGCTTATGGGTGGTAGCTGCATGCAGTATCTTATCCAATGACGGAAACTGCTCATGGTTGAAAGCATAATATTACTACTCAGGCATCAAGAAGACCAATTTCAAAGAAATTTTCTGTCAGAAGATTTTGGGAGTTTGGATTTTTTTTTTTTTTTTTTTTTATCCTTTTACCTCCTCCCAAAGACTCATAAAATGAAAAATAGTATTTTGGTTCTCAGTGATGAGGTGGTGTTCTTCTGTAAATTACCTAGCATGATTTGAGCTGGGCTGAATCTAAATTAGAAATATATATTCAGTCATTTCAATTGAGTTGTTTTAATGACACCTGGGGGCCTCAAAATCTGGAGTGGAATATTCCTTTTAATTCATGAAAGCTTTGTAGGAATGGGTGGGGAAAAAAAAACCTTGTAAAATTTGTTTGGATGTAGCCAGTTTACTAAAGTAAATTGTAGTATAATAGACTTCTGAATGAGCATTATTTTTTAACCAGTAACCCTTTTTTAGTATAGCACAATGATCTTGCACAGTAGTGATAACACATTAAAGGTATATAATGTGAACAGGGTTATTGAAATGCTTGGTATGCTTGTCAATTTTGCAACGGCTTTATCAAGATCGTTAAAGTCAATGCTCCTAATGGCTGCTATGTTCCCAGCTCCAGGATGGTTACAGTTTTCTTCCCACTTACTTGTCTCCTTTACCCTTCTTTGCACATAGGGAGAGTTTTTCTCTGCCTCTAGGCAAAAAGGACAGTGCAGCAACTCTTTTCTACCTTTGCCATCTTAAACAGATTAGCCCCTGCCATTTTCCTTATTTAATGCTCTTCTCTTTCTGAAAGAATAGATAACTTTTCCACTTCGCAATCTTACTAAAACAGGCTTTAAAAGGGCGGTTGTATTTAACAATCCTCCTCACTAGAGTAGACAAAAATCAACTGAATATAATTGCTTGGGGACTGGTCCCTAATGTCTTCCAAAGTGATATGAGTGAGAACATTGTTGATTTTGTCCAGCTTTTGTGACTTGTTATCACCCTACACCTAGAAGCCACACCCCACTGCAGGATTACTCTTTGTTTCAGGACTGATAACATTTCCTCTGCAGAAGAAATTCTCCTCTGACTTCTTCATAGGCTTTTCTCACCTAACAGAGTTACTGTGGGATGGCAGTGAGCTTCCCACAGTGATTACACATTTCTTCAGCGATTAGGTGTGTGGAGATTTAACGCAGTACTCATATTTCCAAAATAGTGTATAATAACGATAATTACCTGCTCTCTATGTAGTGTATACTGAGAAGACAGTCTAATAGTGAATGTACAGGACTCACTGAAAGCAGTTGTCACTGAGTCAGTATCTTGGTCCATGTCATTTCTATTTGAGTGCACTTCTAAGCAACCTCTAACAAAGCCAAATATGCCACATGTTTTAATGGTGTACTAGTGTTGCAGTTACCTTAAGAAAATAGCTTGAATCCTAGAATATTATTTTGATTTTAGTTTAGAATTTGATTTTGATTTTAAAATGGAGTTATAGCAGCTATGAGAATATAAGGCACACGAAGGCCCTTAGGAATAGATAGCTAGTCTGGTGTGTGCCTTAAACACTGTACAAATCGTTATGGACTCTGAATTAAAACAATTGGTACTGGTTATGGATCTTGAGTCAAAACAATAGGTACCAGAAGATACTGGGTTGGGTTTGGAAGATCAGCCAAAGAAGAAATGAGCATCGGCCAAAGTTGAAATGAGCATGCGCAAGGATGGAGTTCGGTCAGCGGACACAGTGATGAAGACTGTCGATGACCACCAGAGGACCCTTGTCCAACATAACCACACGTGCATTAGAGACATTTGCATATGTTAATGATTTCCAGGAAATAACATGAATATGCTGATAATTACCCTCCCCTCATTCTATTCAAATCAATCAGTAAAGATGACCAGTGATTTCTGTCAAATAGGAATATAGGTAAGGTGACATAACTGAAAGCCAATCATTATTAAGGTCGAACTAAACTTTATGAATTTTATTGATCTTATGTAGCCATGACTCTGCTGAAAAAGTGTATAGGTAAGTTGTGCTTTGTACCTGTTGGTGAACACGTCTTTGGTGGAGCTATCCCCCGTGTTCCCCAGTGCTGGAATAAAGGAGTGCTTGCTTATCTGCTTTGTGTAGCTAAGTTCTATTCACGATTGTGACCACTAATGCTAGTGCACTGTTTCAAACTAACTTAAAACTTTGCTCATCTGAGTTTGCATGTGTATTAGCAATTTAATTCAGATTAAAAGTTTGCTGTGTTTTAGTTTACATAGTGGAACAGTATATAAACATCCAAATTAAACTATGCTGATATACCATAGAAAAGGTAAGCCAGGGGATGGCGTAGCACTGCCTGAGGTTGACAACACAGCTCCAGGGAGCAATGAGGGTTTAGGAGCATATTTTTAATCCTTGTACACCAACACCCACAGTATGAGAAATGAACAGGATAAACTGGAAGCATTAGTCAATTCCCAGAGTTATGATGTCATTGGTATTAGTGAGACTTGTGCAGCGAGTCCCATGACTGGAGCGCTGGGATGGATGGCTACAGGCTGTTCAGGAGGCACAGGCAGGGCAAGTGAGGTGGAAGTGTTGCACTGTGTGTAAGGGAGAGGTTTGATTATACAACCCTTACAGTTAGTGATGATATGATTTAGAGACTCTGGGTGAGGAAAGTGTAGAGTGGGGAGTGGAAAGCAAAGCAGATGTTGCTGTGGGTGTCTATTATTTATTGTTTACTCAGCCAAGATGATAGCACTGATGATTTATTCTGTAGGCAATTAGGAAAGATCTCTGGATTGGTAGCTCTTGTCCCAGCGGGAGATTTCAGCTTCCTGGACATCAGCTGGGAATGTCATACTGCTGTGACAAGCAGGTCTTGAAAATTCTTGACATTTGTAGGAGGTAACTTCTTGTCACAGGTGAGCCAACTAGGAAGGATGCCCTCCTAGACTTCCGGTTTGTGAATAGAGTAGGATTCATGGGGGATGTGATGGTAGGTGGCTGTCTTGGCCACAGTGATCATGAAGTGGTTGAGTTTCAGTTTTCCAGTGTAATAAGAAGGACAGCAGAGTTGCTACCCTGGACTTCAAGAGAGCAAACTTTAAGCTGCTCGGGGAGCTATTTAGCAGTGTCCCCTGGGAATCTGCTTTTGAGGGCTTGAGAGTCAATGAGAGCTGGTCAGTTTTATTAAAGAACCACCTTTTAGAAGCACAGGAGCAGGCAATCCCATTGTGCCAAAAAGTCAAGCAAGCAGGGCAGAAGGCCAGCTTTGCTGAACAGAGAACTCTTCTTGCAACTCAGGCGGAAAAGTAATTGTATGATCTCTGGAAGTGAGGTCAGGCTTCACGGGAAGATTACAAAGCTGTTGTTGCCATATGTAGGGAGAAAACACAAAAGGCCAGCGGTCATCTAGACTTGAAACTGGACAGTGATGGATCAGATAACAAAAAATTATTTTCTGAGTATGTTGAGAGCAAGAGGAGATCTAAGGAAATTGTTGGACAATAGTTGATGAAGATAGTCACCTGACAAATAGGGATGAAGAAAAGGCAGAGGCATTTAGCGCTTTTTTTTTTTGTCAGTCTTTAATAATACTGATAGACCTTGGTCTGCCAGTCCTCTCAGTTGGAGGACATGTAGGATCAGTGACTTTCCATTTGTGAACAGTTAAATTGTAAAACGACCAGTTGGATGAGTGGTATCAATTGAATTTTCGTAAGTCCATGCGGCCTGATAGGATTCATCCCAGACTACTGGAGGAGATGTCTTGGGAATCTGGGGAGGTCCCTGCTGACCGGAAGCTAGCCAATGTTATTCCAATCTAAAAAAAAAGGGTAAGAAGGAAGACTCTGGAAACTACAGAACTGTTAGTCTAACCTCATTACCTGAGAAAAAAATATGAACAAGATAATACTAGGTGCTATTGAAAGGCATTTCAAGGACAATGCAATCAATCATCAGGCACGTTCAACATGGGTTCGCTGAGGGAAAATCCTGTCTAACTAATCTGATGCCCTAGTGGTGGAAGGAAAGGCAGTGAATGTAGTTTTTCTGGATGTTAGTAAGGCTTTTGATACTGTCCCTCAGAGCATCCTTCTGGACAAGTAGTCCAACAGTGGGATGAGCAGGTGCACTGTGTGATGGGTGAAGAACTGTCTGAAGGGCAGAGCTCAAAGGGATGTAGTGAATGGGGCTATAATTGGCTGGTGGCCAGTCACCAGCAGTGTTCCTCAGGGCTCAATTCTAGGGCCAGTTCTGTTCAATATGTTTATCAATAATCTGGAGGCAGGAGTTGAAGGCACCATTTACAAGTTTGCTGATGATACTAAATTGGAAGGTGCTGTCTCTTGAGGGATAAGAGGCCTTGGGGAGGGATCTAGATACATTGGAACATTGGGCAATCATTAATGGCATGAAATTCAACACGAGCCCAGAGGGCAAACCCCATCCTGGGGTGCATCAAACACAGCGTAACCAGCCGGTCAGAAGAAGTGATTATCCCACTGGATTCAGCTTTTGTGCTGCCTCAGCTTGAGTTCTGCGTGCAGCTCCAGGCCCCACAATTTAAGGATGATATGAAGGTCCTTGAATGCATCCAGAGGAGGGAAACAAAGCTGGTGGAAGGGCTGTAAGGCATGACCTGTGTGGAGTGGCTGAGGTCTCTGGGCTTGTCTAGTCTGGAGAAAAGGAGGCTGAGGGGCAACCTCATTGCTTTCTACAGCTTCCTGAGGAAGGGGGAGGTGGACAGGGAGGTGCTGGTCTCTGCTCCCTGAGATCCAGTGACCAGATGTGTGGGAATGGCTCAGATCTTCATTAGGTGAGGTTCAGACTTAACATTAAGAAACATTTATTTGAGGCTGGACAAACACTGCAACAGGCTTCCTGGAGAGGTTGTTGATGCCCCATGCCTGTCAGTGTTTAAGGAGCATTTGGACAATGCCCTTAATAATATGCTTTAACTTGGTCAGCCCTGGAGTGGACAGGCAGTTGGACTATGTGATCACTGTAGGTCCCTTCCAATTGGAACTGTTCTATTCTAAATACTCCAGTGTACTCTACAGCTCCGTGTGTTAAGCCCACAGGACTAAACTAGAGCTGGTTTGAAGTAAAAGCCTCGGAAAGGCAGGTAAGTTGGCTGTTGAGTCCTCATTGTGAATCCTTTCACTCTATAGTTCCATTCTTACTGGATTGCTGTACCTGCAAGTATACACATAGCCTGTGGTGGAGAGACTCTTTCTCCTATTGTGTGCTAATGCTGGAGAAATTAATGGGATTTTTATTTCTAGGTGATCTCATTCAAAATACTATGTTGCTCTGGAGACTGACTTTCAATGACTGAGGTGGGCAAGTTAGTTACTACTGTTTTAGATGTGTGGGAATGCAGCAAAGGAAGCTGGTGGTGAAGATACTGGCAGGACAGGTTTTTGTGACTCCAGCATAGCTGTTCTGTGGGCAAACGGAAGGGATAATTTATCTTTTTCTATCTTTAGCACTTAGGTATAATTTTTTTCCACACTGTGTTTTATATGCATGTTTATTAATTCAATCTCACACTACATAAGCTGTACTAAAACTAGTGGTTTTTTAAGTATCAGACAAATGTAGTAGTCAAATACCTTTCTGTTCCTAAAGAGATTGTTTAACCACCTTATATATCACTTTTCTAGTGATACGTACTCACTTTTGTGTGTACAGTACATTTTTTGGCTGTTTATGTAGATGTGTAAAAACAATACTTATTTTAATTCTAATGTCAGATGATTTAAATGTAGATACAGATGAGCTGGGATCTAGAGACTGATACAAGTGTTGAACAATGATTTAAGTTCTCAGATGTGGAAAGATTCAGGCAACTTCTTAAGCACCTTTTTGTCTGCTCAGTCCTGAGCTTTTCCATAAACTAAGGTAAGGCGTTGGAGCTAAAATTACAGTGACCTGCTGTGGTCACACATGGAAAGCTAATTACCTTGATCTCCCAGTTGCCTGCCTCGTGTTACCTCTGCACCAGAAAGAGGTGGGAAGTATTCTGTCATTAACTTCATGACTCTCTCCTGCAGTTTAGGTTTGGAGGAGCTCCCCACAGTGAATTTTAAAGAACGCTTCTCCTATTCCAGTCTTTTAGCCAGCTGTAAGGATCAATGCAAAGGAAGAGCATCGCATCCTGATTGTTTTTTTTTTTTAACATAAAACAATAAACATGGCTTAATATGAATATCTGTGGTAGGCTTGACCTTGGCTGGCTGACAGATGCCCATTCAGCTGCTCCTCTCCACCTCCTCAACAGGACAGAGAGAAAATAGGATGAGAAAGCTCGTGGGTCAAGATAAAGACAGGGAGATCATTTACCATTTGCTGTCACAAAAACAGATTCAACTTGAGGAAGAGTAATTTATTGCCAACTAAAAATACAGTAGTATGGTAAGAAACAAAAAATAAAACTAAAACCACCTTCCCCCCACCCTTCTTCCTAGGCTCAACCTCACTCCTTCATTCCTGACACTTCTACCTCCTCCATCCTCAAGCAGTACAGGGTGGGTAGGAAATATCGCAGTCAGTTCATAAACCTTCATATCTGCTCTTGGTTCCTCTTCACACTGTTCCCCTGCTGCAGCATGGGGTTCCTTCCATGGGATACAGTCCTTCATGAACTTCAACATGGTTCCTGCTCACAAACTGCAGCTCTTCACAAGCTGCTCTAGTGTGGGTCCTTTCCATGGGGTATAGTCTATCTGGAAAAGTCTGCTCCGGTGTGGACCCCTCATGAGCCATAATTCCTGCCAGGAACTTGCTCCTGTGTGGGCTCTCCATGGGCTGCAACTTCCTTCAGGGCACATCTGCCTGCTGTGGTGTGAGGTCTTCCACAGGCTGCAGTGTGGATATATCTTGTTGGGCACAGTCCTCCATGGGTTGCAGAGGGACAACCTGCTCCACCATGCTCTTCTTCGTGGGCCACAGGGGAATGCTGCAGTGTCCAGAGCACCTCCTTCTCACCTTCCCCACTGTTTTTGGTGTCTGCAGAGCTGTTTCACTCACATTTTTATTCTCTCTCACACCTGCTGCATAACGCTTTTTACTTTTTCTTAAATATGTTTTCACATAGGTGCCATCAGCTTTGCTATTTGGCTCAGCAGTGTCCCACGGTGGCTCTGTTTTGGAGCTGGCTGGAACCAGCCTGTGCCTGGCATGGGTGAAGCCCCTGTCTTTTCACGGAGGCCATCCCTGCAGCTTCCCCACTGCCTAAGCCTTGCCATGTAGACCAAATACAATATCATATGTCATGTTTTTTCCTACAGAGTATGTTAACTATAGGCAGTTTAATGACAAACCCATTAGATTGAATTTCCATGGGAGAAAATGTCCATGTTTCATCTCTAGCATGTAATATAGTGTTTTGATGTGAAGTGTTCTTGCTCTGTCTTTCTTCAAAGCTGTCATCGTATATGTTTCTTCACATTGTCCACACTTGAATCAGTTTGGGTCAGACAGAAGTACAAAGTGGAAATACTTCTGTTTCTATAGTAAGTTCCAAATTCCTACCTCTGTTTGCAGTGCTTTCAAAAAAAAAAAAAAAAAAATCCAGGATTGACCCTATACTATTGCATGCATGACCTTGTCTCTTATGGTTTGCAAGTACTCCAGTGGTCACAATAGTCTGCGGGCATTATCTGACACATATATTAAATAAATATAAATTATAGTAGGTGACCTTTTGTAACAAATTAATTAATCGAGTCCAGCTTCACTCTTTCCTTATATACCCTCTTAGGCTGCATGGTTTAGAAAATCATACAGGCAAAAGCCTATTCATATTGAGATAGTGTTCATTTTCCCTTTAAATATTATCTTCCTTCCACCTATTATCTTTCCTTCCTCCCCCTAGTTTTTGGTCAAGCCCAAAAGCCTCACTTTTCTCCCCATTTTCTTAAATTCAAATGTAGGTGATAATCAGTATGGGTGAAACATCAGAAAAGACTCTGCCAGCCTCTAAGCAGTTATTTGTCCATATTCTTCAATCCCAACCTTTTAAGAAACAGCCCTAGTTGCATTCTCACAGTCATACTGAAGCATGAGGAACAACACACTTGAGTAAAATGGCTAGAATTTTGCACATGGCTTTTGATAGTCACTCACTTCCCTTTAAAGACTACCATATATTTGGCCTGACTACATCACACTTTTGTTTATCTGTCTGCAGTTCAACATGGAAGAAAATAATTGTGGGGAAAGAGATTCTTAATGTCTGCCAGATACATGATTGCAAGTTTTTACTTCTGACCCTTAAATAGCCCCTTGAATATATGGTAGACGAGTACCTATCATTTGTCTTTGTGGTTCAGTTGCATTTTCTGGAGTCTTTTTTTGAAGAAGTGAAGGCTGGGCCAGAATGTGAGGGATCCTTTGTGAATGCCTGACCCTAATCAGCATGTGAATCTCATAGGTTGCAGTTTCCAGCTTCTGCTCCTTGAGAGATTCCAGTTCTAGCCAATCTAACACTAAAATATGTATGAGGCACATATGTATGAGGTGGCCTAATAAACATAATCTTATAGATTAAATGGTACTGTCATTTCAGAATATCTGTTGCTAATGAGGCAAGAATTATCACCAAAATAAGGGTTGTAAGTGTGATTGTAAGTGGAGCCACTTTTCATTTTTTTTCAGAATTTTCTAATTTATATTAGAAAAAATATATTAATTTTTAAAACTCCTGCTATTTGAATTCAAAATTTTCAACAGTAACTAGTTATTTTGAGCTGCTCCATTTTTGAAGTGCATTAAAGAAATCTGTCTTTTCTGAAAATTCTCCAAAGCCAGATAATGTACATGCAAACAGGAGTTTTGCATTGAAAATCTTTGTCTAATTTCTTTTTAACCTATGATATGCAGCATCCCACTGGAAATGTATTTCTTATTTCCAAACAAAATAGCAATTTAGCTTCTTTTCTTTCTGATGTTGCTTGCCCCTAGGTGTGCCTTCCTTTCAGAGAAGAGGTTCTGGATGATAAAGCACATACCTGAATCAAAACACAAAATGGTGTAAGAAGAAGGGACTAAAGTCTAAAATGTCTTCAATTCATTCAGAAGGAACAATATGAACATTCATCTGTCAATCTTGCACAGTTCCTTCCATGAAGTTAGGAACAGAACACTGTATCACAAAGATGAAATCCTTCAAATTAATGTTAAAGCCAATGATGGAATGAAGACTTGGCTGTAATGCAGCCAAATTCAGTTCAGATTTTTCAAAAAGTTATTTGTTGAGAAGGAGAAGGGGTCTATTTACATGTAGGTTTTAGGGTGGGCTCTTTTATCACCCCTTTGGATAATCAAATTGTAGAAGTCTTAATTCAGATCTCATACCAGCTAGGAGGAATGAATGAGTAGAGGTTGCACAGAATGAGTGTGGTGAAATGAGAATTGATTTTTTTCTTAAAAAAAAAAAAAAAAAAAAAAAAAAAAAGGCAAACTTTGGTAAGTAGCTCTAAGGCCAGGATCCCTGAAGTAATTTTTATATATTTGTTTTGTATTTTTATGCTTCACACACGTGGTGTCTCTTGCAAATTGGGTTATTTCTATTTGAAAGACATCGTAAATCAAAACAGCTGGTGATGAACTTCCCTGCAGTGGTTTACAGGATGTGATAGAGAAAGTTAGAGTTTCTGAAAGGAGCTATAGTGATTTTTTGATTTTTTGTTTCCATAATCATCCCTGTTGTGTTGAGACCCAGCTTTCTGGAAGATGAGATACTTACCTATAAAGAGCACTAGCAGGTACATTTTCAGAACATAGGGGAAGTAGATTGAGAAGGCGAATGGAAATGGTAGCTTGATGGAGTATGTGCCAAAGGATTCAAAATAAGGCAGTGATACACAAATTGCAAATGCTGTAAAATAACACGGTAAATCTTTAGTCAAAAGGAGGTGGGAGATCATCAGAAAGCTTCATGCAAAAGTCCGTTACCTCTAAGGTGCAGATACCTGTATTATATTCTGAATTTACCATGTCTTTCATATGCATATGCACGTTTTCCTACTGAGTTTGTAGGTCTGAGGTGCTAATGGCTCCTAATATTAGAATTAGCAAGTATTTCCCTTTCAATAATAAGTTCTGTCACTCCTGTAGTTTGCACTGCTTTCAACATTATCTCACATTTCCCTGGTGTAAGTAAAATATGCTGCTAAGTATGGCCTAAGCCAGAAGGTCAGCCTCAGTGAGGGAGAAGGCAGCTTTGGGATTTGCTGCCTAATGTGGTCAGTCTGGACTGGGGAAATCTCTATGTCTTTTGTGGGGTTATTTTCCTGCTTTGCCCAGAAAAAATGAACATTTTCCCATACTGTTAGAAAACAAACAAACAAACACACAAACCACAGAGAACACCTAAGGAAAAAGTACAGAAGAAAGATAGGTGACATACAGATTAATATGAGAGTACATAAGCATTTATAACTACTTTGGCAACACAAAAAGAAGTATCTTAAACACAAATGACAACTGAACTCATCACATTTTATTGGAAAATATTAAGGAAGCAAATCGTTGTTACCTTTCCCATCTCCTTACCTTTAGCCAGAACTGAAAGGGGATAGAGCGGGATGCACAGTGAAAAGTTGAGCCATGTCAGTGGTAGGTAATATATTCCCATCCTTGCTAACATGTTGTAAGTGTACCTGCAGTAAGAGGAACAGCAGAGGGGCTCCGACGGAATGATTATGTCTTTAAAATAAAGAAATCCAAGGGAACTGCAGAAGAGCTTTGGGGCTGCCTATCTGAGAAAATTTCAGATCAATACTTCATCAGTTTTGTTCAGGCTCTAACTGATGTCTGAAGTAGATGGTTCATGATTTCAGAAAGGTTGTCTGGTGCTGCCCTAGAGCAGGCAGACAGCAACACAGCTCTCCATCCCAAAAGCTCTATCAGAAACCATCATGATTTCATATTGGTCCATCAGAAAATGGATTTTGGATAGGGATGTTACAACTGAGGGGGGCAGGAAGGATATGACTGTTGCTTGGGGCTGAGAAAATACTGATTTGTGACTGATGAACTAGCCAAACCACTGCTGGAGGAGGTTAAACAGCAAGGTAAGAACAGGAACTTAATCTCTGTAGTACAACTGCCCTTCCCCTGGACACCAGAAGGGATAGTAGGTGCAAAAAAAAAAAGCAGTTGCCCTCCAGTGTATTGTAGTGTTTTATTCTTACTGTGGCTGTGACTTTTGCTCACTGGGAGACCAGAATGCCTAGGACTTCAGTCTCCAAAGGTGAGCTAATCCTAGCTAGTTTTATCTAAAAGTGGCACAGAAGCTTTCCAAACACTGAAGAAACAGATCTGATCACATTTTTTGGTCAGCTGAAAGGCTTTTTGGCCCTGTGGTCCTGCTAGAGATATGAACAGATGGCCTTTTAAAACACTGTTAGTTCCTTTACTGCCTATACCCATATTCCCCAGACAGACTCCAAAGCAATGTATTTAAAATAACAGAAAGCTACTCTAGTATAAAAAGAAGGAAAAAAACCTTTGCTTCCATACAGAGGCTGCTGTGAGGGCTATATCCAGTTAAAATACTTCTTAATTCCATGTGTCTTCCCTGCTGTAAGTCTATGAACTGAGGTCCATAGAGGATCAAGTTACGTTTGAGAAACTTTACTGACTTCAGATATCAATGCAAAAATCAGTAATGTGGAATTTTCAACATTATACGTTTGCCATGGGCAGGTACTGGTTACCTTACACCATACAAAATTTTTGAGATCAAAATCATCAATTGTATTCCTATCCATTTTACCTCATACCTGTTGTCCCTGCAGTGTAACATATACCTTACTACACCAAAATTCTCAGTCTCTGCTGTAGGAGCTCTTGGCTTTTTGGGAATCACAGTGCAATTAACCCATAATATTCTTTCCATCTCAGTAAGAAGCTCTGCTGGTGCTGCCTTATTGTGCTGTCAATCTTGGTTTGAAATGAGATGTTTAAAAAAAAATAAAATAAAGCAACAGGATTGTAAATCAATTTCTGAAATTGCTGTTCAGTGGGAGGTAGCTGTGATTTCCTTCTAAATTTTTGTTAAAAAGGTCCAAGCCTTTGAACTACGGATGTCAATGCAATGATTTACATCTGTAAGTCATTCTGCCGCTCAACTATGCAAGTTTTGTAAAAATCAGTAACTTATAAGGTCAAAGCTTTTATTTAAAATGGATAATATGCTTTTCTACCAATTTCAAAATAATGAATTGAGTCTGCAGCACAGTGGGGCTGGGGTTCTGCTTGCAAGAATGACCCATTTTTCCATTGTGGTCTTGCCATTGACTCCTTACCTGACCACATCTAATAAATTCCAAAGGAAAAATAAAACACACACGACATATTTCCCTTGAATTTCTTCCTGACTGTTGATCACGACAAATAAAACAATTATTCTCTCAGTGATCTGAAAAGAAAAAAGAATTGTGAATTCAGGTAACACCTTCTATAGCTCTCATTTCTGTGCCATTTTGACAAAAACAGAGGCCACAGGTGAATCCAGTTTGCTTTACACAAATGGTCCAGTGAACATTTTGCTTCTTGGCCTGCTTTTGTTCAAGACCCCGGTGGCCTCCAGCTTGAGGAACTGGAAACTTGGCTGCAACATTATGGATCCACTATGGTATGGGTGGAGGTTTTCTTGCCAACAGGGATGACTTGAGTTTGTAGCCCAGGAAACCTGTGGATGAGCCGGCTGAGATCATGGGAGCAAGGACTTCTCCCACTGTGCCCCTGGAGGTGCCTGTAGGGCTGGCGGGGGAAAGCTTCCTTGCTTGTAGTCTGGAGGGGAGGCCATGGGTTACAGAGGGCCCTTGGGTGGATAGTATGCCAGTCACTGCTAATCTCAGTCCCAGCTCTGCTTTCATAGCTTGGAGATCTGCACCCCAAAGGATCACTCTCGTATAAGATTTGCAGAAAGGAGGAGGAAAAGCATAATTCCTTATCGTTTTTTTTAGCTTAGTCCTGGCTAGGAGAAGTGGGTCTAAGCTTACCATTTATGGGAATTATTGCCATAATATTTATGTCATAACATTTTTCTAGTAGTTGAACCTTATCCAACCCACAAGATATGCCTTTTTAATTTAAAAGATATATAAGCAAATTAATCAGGCAATATCTCCAGCTTAAAAAAATAATCAGCAATATTAAAGCTCAAGAAATGAAAAACAAGTATGTCTTTTTGTAGCTTTCTTGTATTATCAGTATTCATGCTCTGCCTTGTAAAATAAATATATCTGCAGTATTCAGTACTGCCAACAGTTGCTTGTGAAACTCTCCCAGAATGGTATCGGTTCATTCTGGTTTACACTCTTTTTGAAAGTATTAAGGGAGAAAATTTGCATTTATTCAGTTGGTGTGAATCAGTATAACTTAACTGGGGTTTTTAATACCCACTTCCATCTCTTCTGTAAGGTACCTTAGGCTTAATGATTTAATGGGTTAAGATGTCAAGTCAGTGAAAAATCATGAAACGAAAATGGATGGTGTTTTTTATATGCGCAGTCATTCTTCACTCATTTCGCCCTTCCCCTTACTCCTACCTTAAACAAAATAAGAAGCTGGCCTCTCAGCAAGTTTGTGTGGTAGTTTTGCTATGTAATGTTTACTGGTTTCTGCATGGAACATTTTGGCTACAGATGTTTTTTGCAAACCACGTGTCAGATAAAGCAGCCTTCACTTCAGTATTCAGCAAAATTATGTGAGAGCATTTTTTCATATAGAAAGAAAACATGTTCCTCATCTTGAAAAGCACTAGGGGGCCACAAGAGGTAAAAATGGTTTTGCTGCCTCTCACCCTGCTCTGACTGTCATCTTGTGCTGCTGATCCCATTGGTCCCTAACTGAGGAACTGATTTCTAAGAAGGTCAGATGTTGACAGTCTTCTGTATAGACAGGCCAGGAAAGAGTGAGAGATAGCCAGTCCTGTGTTTGTATGTTGATGCTGAGGAACCTGGCAAGAAAATGGGGGAACTGGAAGAGTTGATGGAGAATCTGAAAGCAGATACAACAGAGATAGGAGAAGTGTGGTGGGACAACCATCACAAGAGGGATATCAAAGGTAAAAACAGCATGAGCATTGAATGGGATTTTGTGCTGGAGAGAATAAATAAAACAGAACCTGAGTTAAAATAATTTTGGTGAAGTGTGGTAAAGGAGTAAAGCATTGGTTGTGTGGGCATTTTGTTATCGATGCTACAATCTGACTGGGATGTGGAGAGAGAGTTCTGCAATATTGTTAATATAAGAAATATTTCACGGAATTGTCTGACCTTGATACCAAAGCTTCATCATAACAACGAAAGTATGGACAAGTTTTTAGATGTGAGAACTGGCAGATTTCCCAAATGGTCACTTGCTCTTCAAGAGGTGGCTAGGTGGAAAAGTGCTAGAACACATCATGGGTCAAGTGAACAGGAGCTCATCCCATATCAGTGAGATAAAAGGATAAGCAGTAGACAGGTAGTTACCATCTCCAGTTTCAAAAAGATGAGCAATGGCCAAGGAGACAGAGTGGCTATGGAAACACACAACTCAGCCTCATGGTCTGGGAGTGGAAGAGGATGTGGGTTTCCTTCTCTTCACCAGGGCACAAGCAGATGCACAAGAGGCAGTGAGTATCACCTAGCTGGGGCCTCGCAGATTTCTTCCATCAGAGGATTCATATTTGGGAAGGAGAGCACTGGAGGCATTGAGCCTTACTAGTTGCAGATAATGGAAGTCAGTAATCCGACTGTGTAAAGTAGGTTCAGCACCTGCAAGAGCAGGGAACTGGACATGAGACAAAGCAGGTCCCCCCATAGGTCTTCTGTTCCTGCTAGACTGCAGTCTCAGTTAGCAAACAACGAGGTGGTTAAAGCAGCCATCAGAGGCAAAAATTGAAAACCACCTGTGGCCTTGCTTTGGAGCACACATGTGGGGCAGGACACAGGCATGGCTGCTCAGAGCAATTGTGATGTCTTCATGAGTGTCCTGGTTTCAGCTGGGACAGAGCTATTTTTTTCTTAGTATCTAGACAAGGGCTGTGTTTTGGATTCAGTATGAGTTTTGGTATGAGAAGAATGTTGATAATACACTGATGTTTTCAGTTGTTGCTGAGATATCAAAGACTTTCCAACTCCCCGTGTCCTGCCCATGTGCAGGTAAACAAGAAGATGGCAGGGAACACAGCCAGAGCAACAGACCCAAACTGGCCAGTAGAATATTCCATCTTACGTAACGTCATGCTCACTATATAGAGGAGGATTGGCTGGGGATCTCACTTTCTCACTTATGCGATTGCTTTTTCAGGATGTCTGGGAACACTAGCTCAGAACATGCTAGGTGTGGGCCAGTGGTGAGCAATAGCATTGTGCATTACCTGTTTGTATTTTCTATTATTAGTTATAATTATTATTATTTCAATGATTAAACTGTTTTTATCTCAAACTACGAGTCTCCCTACTTTTATTCCTCCAATTCTTTCCCCCATGACTTGGGCAGGAGAGGGTGAGTGAGCAGCTGCATGGTGTTTGGCTGCTGGCTGGGTTTAAACCACGACAATAGTTTCTCCTTTGTGTAAATCAGGAGGTTGCCTGACTGATTGTCTTTATTGCCCTTCAAGACATTGTGCTCTTTTCTTTCATAGCACTCTGGGGACCTTTACTGTCAAGGCATATTGCTACTTGAAGAAGAGGAGATCCCAGTAAATGTCTGTTGATATTGTGCCACTATATACACACATCTGTATATGTACATACATGGAATCATGTACATATATAAATATACACACATAGATGTATGCATATTTATATGTGTGTGTACACACACATACATATACACACATAGCATGTGCCACAGCTCATTTCTTCTATGGATCATCTGTCCTTGCATGAATGTAAATATGGTATTCTCTGTTGCTACTCTCTTGCTAAAAAAAAAAAAAAAATAAAAACAAAACCAGAAGTCCTATGTTTTCATGTTCACAAAAAGGAAGTATGTGCTGACACCTAACAAAGCATAAATACAATAGTTTCATTTTTCATTCCTTCTTGTTCTTTGTGTGAAAATCAAACTGGAATTTCCTTCCTCTCCCAGAACTGGTGTCTCACAGGATACAACAAGTTCTGTAGAATGGCACAAATTTCTGCAAGGCAGCCTGGGCATTTGAAACAGGTAAGTGAGACAGAGCAAATTAGACCAGCTGAGGTTAGGGCAGGAGCAGGCAGCACATTCAATTCCATTTTTCAATAAGTATGACTGAGCAGTATCATAATTGGTACCTGAAACCTTTACACAGTTCTTTGATTTAGTGATTTTTTTTTTAATTAAGAAAAGTGCAACTAAATATTCATATTAAATTAAAAATCAATGTTTTTATCACAAAGCTGCAGTACATTGCTTTTGGTCTGATAAATTCAATCCTGTTTGTACAGGATGAAGACCTGGTGTTTTGTTCACAAAAACACCAGTCTTTTCTTACATCTTTGTTACTCTCTCCCTTGCTAAAATACCAGTCCCATCAGCCTTTACCCCCTGGCCAGACTTCTATATTTCATTATCCTCTGTTTTGGCAACTGCAATGACACGTGACACATTCTCCTGTCCTCTCAATCACTCAAGCTGCAAATGCCCTGAGAGACATCCCTTTGCACCAATTCTGTAACTCTCCCTTGTCTTCTCCTCCTCCAGAGCATCCATCACACAGGTCCCCTCTCTCTTTCATCATGTGACTTGGCCTTAGCCTACCTAACCCATCTCAGGTTCCTGGTAGCCTGAGACTTTGTCCCTCAATGAGGCCAACCTGAATGGGTTTTTCTGGAAAACACCTCTGAGTTTGCTTTTCCACCATCTGTAATGTACATCTCAAAGTGTTCCATGTAAATGTTACTAAATCACAATAAATAGGATATTAGACAGAAATCCTTCATTCAGACTGTGCTTAAATCTTGTCTCTGCTATAATGCCTAGAAAACAACTAGCAACCACAGGGGTTTTTTCACAGCTTGTTTCATTCAAGGTGGCATTACTTCCACTCATGTGTTTCCCTGACATTTCCAGAGCCACCTGTTCTCACATCCTGAGAGCATTGTGGATATGCATGTGTGTGCATGGCTTGAAGGATGCATGTAGATCTATATATTAAGCTTAGAGTCAGAATAGGTGGTGGGAATGCATAACAGAACAGTCACTATCAAATTCTTGCAGCTTTACCAGTGCCCTGACTATGTGCAGTGTGCAGTAGTCCAGTAGGCTGCAGTAAGGTAAGCATCTCAAACTGCCCATCCCCAGTTCATTGTGGAAAAATCTATCTTTTTTTTTTTTTTTTTTTAAGAGGCAAGGAGAAAAGTGTGGCAAGGCACACGTCACACAATTGCTTAACCTACATTCTCCCAGCAAAAGTAGGGCAACCCAAATGAAAGAAGAGACTACACAGAGAGTTTGTACACCTTGCTTTGACAGCATGAGACTACTGCTAAAATCAAGGCAAGAGAGTTGTGTTTGTGGTGAGAGAACACCTGAGGAAGGAACAAAGCAAGGATCCAAAGCTATCTTTATTGTGAGACAAATGTTTGGGATCACAGTGCCATATCATTCCCTGATATGCAGTCCTGGAGAGCACTGCCTAAGAAAGGTCACAGTTTTCTTGCTCAGAATAGCCATTTCATATCTAGTGTCTTTTGTGGTGACAGCAGTGTTTGTGCAGGCTTCCCTGATCTTGCTTTGGTAAGGCTGGGTAGGAAAGGAACAGACTACATCAGGACTGGGGAATGTGTAAAGTCTGCCAGAACAAGCCTTGCTTTAATGACTATTAACATTAGCCAACTGCTCTTCTCTCCAAGAGATGACATGAGATTTGTTACAGAACAGATTAGATAGGATTTTTTTTTTTTTTTCCCCCCTAGGTTAGTGTAAAAGCATGTAGATTTAGGCAGGGAAAAACAGTTAATTGCATTTTGACGAATCTGCTACCATACGTACTGGGCAGCATCAGGAAAAGAGACCTATATTAGTCAATTTCTAATGGAGATTTTAAAAGAGGAACATCTTCACCCATGCAATATGTCATTTGACAAAAATGGGCTATCCAGAAAACTAAAAACATAACTAAGTATTCTTAGTCTTTTACCTTCTGACTGCTGAGAGCAATACCAGTTTCACCATTATTCAAATACTAAGGATTAGAAGGGTTTGAAGGTAAACTCAAGTCAAAGTTTTTACTTTTTCCAATACATGTAGAAAAATGCCAAAACCTGAGATTAAGTCCCAGCACGAAACATGAGTGCAGTAAGGAAAATGTCAGAAAACCTTCTTGGTTTCTGCTATAGCATGTGATCTTTTGGCTGGTTTTCTGTCTACAGCTGAACATACGCCCTGTAAACCCCTTAACAGCATCAAAACCTCTGGATGATGCCACAATTTGTCCATGTCTGGGTTTGAGAGGGCAGAGACCCTTACAGGAAGAATATGATAATTCTCCTTTCTTTCCCTTCCCAGCATTAATTCTTCTTCAGTTCTTCGATTTCTCTTTCTTAATCAATTATTTTCCTCCTGCACTCCATGACCAACAGCAAACCCTGTTTCAGGAGGCTTGATGTGCTGGTGGTTTTCTCACTGCCATCCCTTTGATACCCCAGAAAATCTTGTCTTGTGCTTGTCTACAAAATAAATATGCACTTGTCAGTGAGGAAATGGCATGGAAAAGAGTTAGCTATTGAAACAGGCTCTGAAACATTGTCTTCTGGCTGTAAACAAGTTGGCTAGGAAGGTCATATCCTCAGCTACCTATGGTAGCCTAGAAATGGAGCTGCTCCTCTGGACATCTTCCAGGTCCATGCTGTTGTGGGCTGGGTGTGGGGCACTCACTATTCAGTTTCACTTAGAAAGAAAAAAGCTGAGAGAGCAGCTCTTTCCCAACCCAGTTATAAGGGTTCAATTCCTGCAGTTAGCAAACCATCAGTAGATCAAGGTGCCTGAGGAAGGATGCAGGTTCACCATTCAAGGTAGTTCAGCTTGGGCTTTTTCCCAAGGGCATCCATGGCTAAAGTGCATAGGTTGTGGAAAGGGGGTCTTGAGAAATAGACTTACCTGCAAAAACCTGGGGGAAAGCTGGCTTTTATCAATGCCAATGATGATGTGTAGGATCTCCAATACAGATAACAACTGGCAAAGGCGCATTACAAGTCCTATAGAGTAAAATGTATCGGCCAATGAATCTACAGACAAAGCGAAGGGGAAAATTAGAGAGTGGTTATACAGTAAAAGTCTGGATCAGTTACTGGGTTTTCTCTTGCCTTATCACCACTGGAGATGGCAAGGAAAAAAAGTTCACATGGTAGCAAACTTTTGGGTAGCAGAAGCAAAGCTTTGGGGAGGAGGCAGTCCATTCTCTGTGTGTGGCTCTGACACAAGAGGCAGGAAGCTGGGAAAAGAACAGGATCCCCTACACTTCATGCACTGTCAGACATTGTGCAGGATGTGTTGGTTTAGAGATATTGCTTTAGGATATTTCTAAATACACAGCAATGTTAAGGAAATGTATGAGGAAAGTCTAACATGAGGAGATGTTGAGTTCTTGACTGTATCTGTACCCATGACACTTCCTAAAACAAGTAGACCACAAAGTAGGTATTTTATCTGACTACAACTATCCACCATTATAAATAATTTTAAATTTCCAGCAATTAGTTTTCTGGTTTTGTGCCTTAACCCTGGGCAACAGAAAGAGAAGTATGTTGCACAGAGTCATGTGGAATAACCACAAAGATGTTCTCTCCTGTGGCTTCAATAGGATTAATATTCACCATGATGACTGGACCTAGTCACATTTAGGTCTATGTTGAAGTCAAAGGTTACTATCATGCAGCTGAATATTAAAGCTCATTAGCAAATCAAGAGCTTCAATCCTGATGTAATGCAGGCAGAACGTAGGTACCAATAATTCATTCATCCTTTTTAATGGATGAAACAATGTTTTTCTAATTGAAATTACAGCCCCTGCTATTGGACGTACACCTTTTCAGAATCCTAACTTTATCTCTGATTTGATGCTTTTATGTGTTGCTGACTCTTAAAATGTTTAAGGAAAATATAGAAGGAATCCTACCTTTTCCAAATGACATGAACCTGATGACCATATTTGTAAATATCCAGGAATGTCCACAGAATTGGATTAAGTCATACACAAAGAGGTAGGTATTCATGGTAAAGCTGTGGAGGTGAAAATGATAAAGCAAACTGTATTACTTACTACAACATTCAAGCTTTCTGACCTGTAGAAATTGCACCCTCTTCACACGTTAGTAAATCAATGGAAAACCACTGAAATATAAAAGATCGGTGAAAACTGTGTCTGTCAGTGGTCATAGAACAGTGCTCTCCCTAATGGATCAAAGGCTCCCTTTGTTAGTCTATCTAGGATATGCCCTGAAAAATTTTCTGAGTTTCCACCAGTGATTAGGGTGATCTGTGGCTATATAGGGAAACTTGCACCTCCAGAGGAAAAAGTAACTAAACAAAGATGACACTCTATTTAGTGCTGGATTCAAGCCTCAGCCCCTTGGCTTGGCTCTGCCTTGGTGATGTGACCAGGCTTGAGGGACTGCTGGGGTTTCACCCACTGCAGCACTGCTGAGGGCCTTGGACTCCTGCAGACACTGGCCTCAGGATTTCTGCTTCTGGGTGAGGTTTATCCTGTTCCTCCCAGAAGACATGCCTCGCATCCACTCAAGACAGCTTAAAGTATAATTCAAATAATTTGCAGTGTCTTCAGCAGACAGCATAGTTGTAAGTATTTATAAAAATATAGGTGAAGAAATGGAAAAGAAAGCCACATTTCAATCTGCTTTTATTTGATGCAGTCTGAAGGATATCTGCATTTCCCTTTTTTAATCAACTTGCTCTACAGGTTTTCTAGATAAACATTAAATTAGGGTTTTTGTCTTTCTGCACAGCCTGTGTTTCAAGTTACATTTAATAAAATGAATCTTGTCCTGTTGGAGCAGACTAACTTTTGTAACTCTTCTAACCTAAACTTCATAAGTAATTGGACTTTTTGCAAAACTTCATAAGCTCTGGAGATACTTAATTTCCCTTTCCCAAAAATGTATTTTCTTCTGACATTGCAGAGAGAAAGGTTTACTTGTCCTCCAGCTATGAAAAGGACTGCCTACCTTTCAGGGAAATGAGTTTCTTAATTTTGTACTAGAATTTATCTCCTATGTTTGATCAGTTAATTTCCTGCCCCAATATGTAGTAAGATATCTTTAAGTGTATTGACTTGGTATGTCTCTGACATCAAAGTTTAATTTATATGTGTACATTAACAAACACAGTGAATTTCTGTGTTTAGAAATATCTAAATATGATAAATGCATATACTTCATTCCCATCATTAGACCAAGACCATAAATAACAATACACACATCTGCAAATTGATCTAGATAAACCGATCTTCTAAATTTTTAATTAATGTATATCCTAGTGAGGTCACAGACAATGCCTTTCTTCCTCTCTTCCTGTTGTGCAGGATGGCTGCTACTCATATCATCACTTCTATAAGCACAGAAAGATTTGTTGGCATAATTTACCTCCTAAGAGACATCAGTGCCCTTTGATACTATGAAAATTAAGACATATGAGGACCCAGACAAATGAATGTATTCCATAAACACTCATTTTGGGAAAAGTATGATATAGCTCAACTGGACTAAAGTTCAGTGAGATCTATAAATAGTGACCCCAAATCCCATCTGCTTTATTACTGAATGACACTTGTTCTCTCTTGTGGTAAGAAAAAAAGATGGGACACTATACATTACAAGAAGGCAAAAAATTAAGAACATTGTTTTGATTTAATAAACAGCCCTATTGCTGGATGGATAGGAATTATTGTAGTGGGTATGAAAGTTAAAGGAACAATTACAAAAATCTTGAGGCTTTCCAGTCAGCACATCCCCCAGTCTCTTTGGTTTGATACTGCCATGTGGGCTTTGCATGGGATGCAAGCTGAGCATATGGTTTCTCTCTTCTTCTGAAGTTTAGTTTGCTACATACGTCTCTCATCCTCAGGACTCGTCCTTAAGTGATGTGGACTTATTTTCCAAACTCTTCCTCCATTGGCTGCCTAGAAAATTGTTGTCTTTACAGTTCTTAAACTGCTTAATCTTGGCTAAACAGGGTGTAACCAAGAGGATGTTCGTAAATGCAGCTTCACACCAGTGTTTTGTTTTGGCAATGTGGCAGCCGTTTCATGTTAGAGCTTGTCATCATCATTAATGTACATAAAGGTCTACATTAAAGTACATCTTTAAAATGTACTTGTGACTACTGAAATGTATACACACTGTTGGCATTTATGGTGAGCCCCATATTCCCAAAGTGTAGAGATGTGCTGGTGGGCAGCACGCTGCTGTTACTTGGAAGACCAACCCTGGCCCTGGAACAGAGAGCAGCACAGCTCCCTCACTTTGTGATGCTCTCCATTGCATGAAGGCCCAGCCCTGATCTCGAAATGGGTTTTCATCCTACTGTATCAATCCCTGCACAAAATGTACTTAAGACCAAACAGAAGCCTTTGACAGAAATGAAGAAATCTGCAGAGGATAAAAGATAATTTCAGTGTAATGAAAGGAAACTAAAATGCAACTGTTCTCTAAGGTTTTTCTCATCCAAATGCTGATCTCTTTACCTAGAGAACCAGAAGCAGACTGAGGATAAACATTTCACTGTTCTAACAGTTTTGTATTACAACACAAAATTCAGCCCTCTGCTTCTAGTTGAAAGGTCACTGGCAGAAGAGATGGGCTTTAACTAGATTTCCAGCTCCCCTCAGTTCACAGCAGGCATCATTCCACATTTGTCTCATAAAACCTGCTTCTGTAGCACCCTTGCAGACAAAACACTGACTAGCAATCCATCAGATAGCTGTTCGGTTCCTGACCCTGTCCCAGACATGCTGGCTGAGTTTACAAACCTCACTTAGACTCCCTGGTGCCTGGTTTTTAAAAGAGACTTTCTGTTGCATTTATTCCTTGTAGCATCATATGAAAGCACGGGGGGAGCACTGCACATTTCAGTAGTCTGCCTGCATTTCTAATAGGAGAAAGAAACAGACATGGGTCTTGCAGTAGAGAGACCCAGAAGGCTGGACTTGCTCTCTGTTGTTCAAATTGTCAGTTCCATGTTATTTACAGTGGCTGATTTTATACCAAATACATTGAAATGCTAGGGATGCATTTATCATATTTATGATCAACCTTGCTTAGTGGAAAACTTTATCTGCTTTCTCTCTGGGCTCAAACCCTAGAAAACTAGATGAAAATTAAGACTACCCAGAACTAGCACGCACAGCAGCAGGGTCCCAAACATCTTCTTTTCCCTTTTATTCACCAGCAAAGATTTTACCAGTGATATAGTTTTAGCTTGCAAAGCTTGACATATTTCCACCGGCAGAAGAATCATGTAATTGTTGCATTTTATTATTTTTAACATGACAGTCTTCAATGTGTCTCTGTGCTAGCTATCATCCAAAGTAAGTAGAGAGGTAGGTGCGGTCAGTGTCTGAAGGGTAGTCAGGATGATGTGCCCCTTGAGTTAAGGTGACAGGTAGACAGCAGCAGCACCCAGCTTGGGGCAGCTCTTGCCCTGGCTAGGTGTCCCTTGCAAGCTGCCAAGATGAAGGCCACACGTGGCTCCCTCTCAGGGTGGGGTCCCAGCCAGGCCCCCATGAACTGAACACTTCCCTGACTTCAGAGCTTTGGCACTCTTGCCTTCCTGTGCACCCATACTGGCTGGCTGCACATGAGGAAGCAAGTCTCGCACAGAAACCAGAGGGATGTTCCTTTTTTTTTTTTTTTTTTTTTTTTTTTTTTTTTTTTTCCCCCTGCAGTAAAGGTCTGCTAGAAAAGCCCCCCTGCTGACACAATTTCCTTTTAATTCATATTGGTCTGAATTTCTACCCCTTTCCCCTCCCACCCCTGTGACAAGCTGCAAGCACTATAGGTCAGGAAGAAGAAAGCTGCTGAGAACCAGTACAAAAGACGTACTTTTCTCTCACAGACACATCCCACCCCACTGTTCTTTCCCCCTTCCTTTTCACATTTGAACAGTCTAGGTCACCTGGACTGAAGAGATATTACCTGTTGCAGGGGTCAGATTGCTGCTGCTGCTCCTGATCTTTCTCCTTTTTTCTCTCTACAGCTGCAACAGCTGTTTGTTAGGAGATCAGCCCTCCTCTTTCTTCTTCCCCCACCCCATGACGTCACTGTATGTAGCACTAAGCAGGAACAACACTGCACTTCCTGAGAAAGGAGTTTCTAACCCCAAATATCTCCACTCTGTTTGCCCTGCTCTTCACCCAGCCTAAACTAACCTAAACTAAGCTAACCTAAACTAAGCTAAACTAAGCTAAACTAAAATAAGCTAAGCTAAACTAAACTAAACTAAGCTAACCTAACCTAACCTTAATTGATGTCTTGCTGTTATGCCAGTAAACTACTCTGTAAATCCCATTAATTTTGTCTCTTAATCCAGAGCAATATTTTGAGGGATTACTGGAGAGAAAAAATGCAAAATGAAAACTTTGTTCTTCTTTTTAAATCATCAGCACTACAACAATGCTAACACTATCAAATGATAAGGAAGGGTGGGAGCATAGCATAAAAGGAGCACTTTAAATTACTTCAGATAGAGGACAGAATTTTCCACTTCTTACCTAGAAATGTCTGTTCATTCATGTCCCTGTGAAATATGGGCACTACTGGCAAAGGAAATATATGTGTACATTCTTGTTTAATTCTGCCCTTAAGCGTCTGGAATATCTCAGCAAAAATCAGATTAATGTCATAACATGTTACAAAGTCCCTTCTGCTGATAAATAAGTTTTCCCACTGTCACTCATATTGAAAGCACATCCCATCCTACAGTGAGATTTGAAATTTGATGTTATGACTGAAGAAGTCACCAAGGACATAATCAGCATAGGATGTTATGAGTAAGTACAAAAATTGTGGGGAATAAAATGTGGCTTACTGAGTCTCATCCCTGTTGAGTGGCACTGAGCTCCTGGAAAGGCCATCTCTACTCCCTGTGGTGTCCTGGAGAGGTGAGAAATACCTCCCTGGAAAGTAGGCGATTTCCTGGCAAACAGAGTGGGACACTGTGCTTTTCCTGGTTATGTCTCCCATTTGGGACCTTATCAGAATGGTCATGCAGTTATGCCTGGCTGTCCTGCTTTGTATTTACCATCTTTCAGGACAGTTCAGCTACACTGCAGACAGGGGTATTTCAGAAGAATCAGGCTGGTGGCATTTCCTTGCCACTGCCCTGCAACTGGAGCAGAACAAGAGGAAGAATGAGGGAAGCCAGACAAGAGCCTCCTGGCAGCTCCTGTCCAGATGTCCCAAAATGTCACTTGGAGGAGATGTGACAACCTTACCCTCCTTACTTGTCACTTCCCTGGAGTTTTTGAAGGAGCAGGTCATCTGGCTTCTAGGTTGACCTTTGTACTCACAGCCAGCCCTACGACTCTGTAGGAATATGTTGATTTTGGGGATTCATTATTTTCAAGCATTGATCTCCCAGACTATAAGGTATTACCCCAATCGCTGGGTAGAGGTAATCAATTGGAAACTACTGACTCATAGTAGGACAAAAATGCAAATCATTATGTTTCTGTAATACACCTTAATCCTGTTTTTCATTAAGCTATTTCTACATGGAAGCAATTTATCTTTATGATGCAAAGGATTACTTCTTTTTAGGCTGATTATTATAACCCGGTTCTACTGTTCTTAAAGAATCTGCGTATTCAGTAACAATATAGTCTATTTTTTTAGGGTAACCATTTTTTAGAATTTAATTTTCTTACAGGGAGCATTGGAAATATCATCACTCATTTTACATTCTTTAAAAAATATCCTTTGTCCTTTAGTAGGGCTTCCTGTCCTTCCTTCTCATTCCCAAACAGCCTCTTTTCAGCAGAGTGGGGAATTCACTGGTTTTGCTAGGGAGGCAGTGAAAAGATTAACTAAATATCAAAGACATACACAGTTCCAAAATGAGTCTTGCTTCTACAGTCCCTGTGCCTCCCAGTTCACTTCACTCAGTTTCATTGCAGGATGAGATCCATGGGCCCATCAAATATGCCACTACAACAATAAGGAGGAATTACTGCTTGATGGGCTGGGAGAGTTCACTGTTGATTTTTTTAAGTGTTAGACATTACAAAGCCACTCATAATTGAAGTTGTAATAATAGCTTCTGATTTTTTTCTAGGATTTTAGTGGCTTGCGCAAGTAATAAATGTTACCCTGCTATGGAAAACTGGGAAGGAGAGGGAGATGTGCCCTATTTTTTGTTAAAAAAGAAAAAAAAAGAAAAAAAAAGAGAGAAAGCAAAAGATTTAGTATCTTGAAATACTTCTAGTGACCAGTAATCACATTGAGCACAAATCCTTTTTAAATACATGTGATTAGATGTGACAAGATTTAACTCTTGTCCTGAGGACAACAGCGTGACTTCTACAAGCAGCAGGAGCTTATTTTTACCTCTTAAAAATTATAATCACAAGAAAATATCTATTACAGCCAATGTGAGCTTTTTCCCAAAAAGTGGAGACCAGAACTGAGTCCACCTCAAACTCAAAGAGACATGAAGAGGAAGTATACTAATTGCTTAAAGAGAGCACAACATTTTTTAAAATATTTGAAGTTAAACAAGGTTTTGTTTTGTTTTGTTTTGGTTTTTTTAGTTTAAAAGCTTTCTGTTTTATATAAATATGTCTGTCAAGATATTTCCTTTCTGAGAAAATAAACTGTAACACACAGTACTCCAGCTAAGACCAGAGGAAGTTGTGTAGGGTCTGGCCTATGAAGATAAGAAACTTGAGGAATATAGATGACAGTAAGTTATAGTGGGTAGACATGGTGGTAACTGCTGTGCAGGTTGACAGTATGCTATTTGAAATCTCACTATTTAGTCTCCTTAATGTGGATTTTGACTTGCAAATGAATTACCATGTTTTAACAGTTATTTTGTAGAGGAGAATGTTAACTGTGTTTACATCCACACTTTCAAAAGCAGATTATATTATTTGCTTTGAAGATTAAATTCTTCATTGCTAAAGGTAACGTGGTTTTAGGATCCTAATGGCAACCACTTGGGCTCAGGAAGTTTGGTCTTAGAAAAGTCAATCTTGAAGTCTCCTGTGGAGAGGTCTGAGGTAGGACATGAATGTCTCTGTGTTTATCTGCTCATCGCTTACCCTTACATTATCCTCAGCCACCCTGAAATTAAAACAGATGGTTACCAGTTCACATGAGCTGGTGATTTCAATTTTAATGTTGCACAGAGAGAAAATAAATTAATCCAGGACACAACTAATGAAGAGCCTAAATCACATTTGGAAGCAAGGTGAGCTTGGTGGCACATTGCTGCAGTGTGGAGGCCCTGCAGCAACACTGCTGCTGCCCTCCTGTTTGCATAATGGTCTGTGTCACTGGCATGTCTGCAGGCCAAGAGGAAAGATTGTCCTCCCTTTCTCTGTCAGCATTTGCTTCTCCAGGAACCCTCAGCACTGAAGAATCCCTTTCATGGTACCAGGATTTCTTGATGTCAGAAACGGTGTGGGAAACACTGATATAAATGTCTCATCCTTGCCTATATGAGGATTAGTAGGATTATTTTGGGATATTAAAAAGCCTAGTCACCTTATTAGAAAGTATCAAATCCAATTTTACCTGCGTTGTTCACCTTTCTTCTGTTTTGCATTAGATTTCTAAAGCAAAATAAATTCACTCTACCAGTCAAAACTGAAGACTGATACTTTATTTTAAGATTTATTCTGTGTCATTGTCACCCTCATTTCTTGGTCTCCCCTATGTCTGGTTGCTCCCTGGAAGGACCCTGCGTTCCTCCACAAAAGGGAGGGGGGAAAGAGTTTAGGGCTACCCCCTGAGAAGGGGCAGGCTGGGTTGGAAGGGGTAAGGACTGGTGGGATCCACGAGTCCATGGGTGCTATCTTACCATCCTAATCCCCTCTCCAGACCACACCCCTCAGCCCTGGTGTTAATATGCGTGCTCCACCACAGCCACTGCTTCACTATGGCTGCTTTGAAGGACTTCACAGCTGTACTTCCTAGCAACAAGGGCTAATCCTGCATAATTATTTGCAGAGTTATTTCCATAGACTTTTGTCCTGTTTTGGTTTGGTTTTTTTTTCTGTTTTGGGTTTGATTTTTTTTTTTTTTCCCCAATTTAGAAATAAAGTAAAGCCAGAGCTGACAGAGCAGGCCAAACCCATGGAAGAATTGCTTTGGACAGCTGTAGTTGGCTGTGACTTGTGAATAATTTTTTCCAGAGTAAAGTCTGGAATAAGCATTCTGCAGTTCTGCTGCAGCTATTCTGAAGTTTCATGTGGGATACAAGGCATCTGACCCCAATCACATAAATCCACTCCAGAAAACAGACTGCATAGATGAAACCATAGTGCAGTTTCCCAAAAAGTGCAGCACAGAACATGCAAACTAGATACTGTGAAACTAGCCATGAGAACAACCACAACTGTGACTGGGACCTGTGCTGCACAGCACTGGTGCATGAGTCTTATGAGAAAATTTATGAAATTTTTTGGCCTACAGGCAGTCCACCTTGGAAGGATTTTGTTTCATCTATGTTAAATTTTTGACTGGGATTTGAGGTTTCACATTTACTATTTTATTTATTTCTATTTGAAATATGTTAAAAACTATATTTTGCTACATTTGTTTAGCTTCTAGAAAAATACTAGCTGGGGGAAATACCAGAGGGTTTCAGTTAGCCAGGGGCATAATATACAGCTGACCTGGTAACACAATGGTGATGAAATACAGATTGCTCCAAAATACTACAATGGCAAGGAGAAGAGAGAGGATCTTCTGACTCTTCACCTTTCTTCCTGTACCTTAAAGACTCTACTGTTCTTTAAAAAGGAAAAATAAAACAAATATATTGGTTTGATAAGAATAAAAATTTTTAAAAATAAGAATAAAACAAATATATATTGGTTTGATATTTTCTTTTTCCTTTTTATTTGTTGAGAAATTATGTCTGTTGCAGCATCCCCATCTTTAAACGGGTCTTCTAGACATTGTCTCAGTACAAATAATTCCTATTATGTCATAGCTGGCCAAAAAGTAATTTAAATTAAATGCTGGTTTATAAGCTCCTGTCCATCATCTCTGAGATCTTTCTTTC